GGGCTGTAAGGCATGTCTTCTAATTTAGAGTCACAAAATATTCCAAGTCATCTTTCTTACCGGTCGAGCAGTGAGTAATGTGTATGTGTAGTAATGTATGTGTTCCTAAGTGTGATTACTTGCAAGATCACATTGGCATCCCTCTTGAACAAATAACCAGGTAAGTGTTATTTATACAAGTGTTTGAAATTATGATCGCCTAATAATTTAAATCGAAAAATCTTACAATTTTGCGCACAAAATGTAAATATTTATGGTAAATTATAGATTTTTTCGGATTGAATTGCCAGGCGATCATAATCAGCAGCAGGTTGCTACCGAAAACCAAAGGATCGTTTGTCACCTTTTGGAATTCCTGTTCGCCTGGTAATTCAAACCGAAAAATCTTTCAATTTTGCCCACAAAGTGTAAATATTTATGGCAAATTGTAGATTGTTGAAAAAACGGAAAAAATAGGCCTAAAATTTCAAAAAAGGATGAAAAGCAGGACAGTTTTTCTTATGATTATTATTCATTTAGTTATCTTTTAATTTAATATTTTAAATGTTTCGTCCACGACGCATTCGTCCTCAACGTTTGATTCATACGTTGCCATTCTTTACGTTGTATTCTTCTATAGGCATTTTGACAAGGTGAGTTCGATATTCATACGATTACACGCAATATCGATACCATTTTGCTTAAAAGAGATGCCACATAATTTGCAAACAAAAAAATTTGGAATTATACCAATTAAATTTTGAAAAATCTAAAAACGTAAAAAAGAACAGATTTCCGGGTTGGGGCTGTTTGAAACAGTAAAAAACAGGACAGATCTGTCAGGAAAAAGGCTAAATTGGCATCACTGCTCCAGATGCGCAAGATTTCCCGAAATACGGCCACACTCTCGCTATCTAGAGTGCCCGCACTCACCACCCTGGTCAATTTTGTTTGGGTTTGAGGCCAGACAGAGGAGTCATTAATTTTAAACAAAGGACCACGCTTCAGGACATTCATCCCGGGTCAGACAAAGCCGCTACTCGCTTTCCCCGCGGCCGAGTGAAAGTTTCTCGCCTTGTCGCAGCCTAACATCCGAAGCGACCGGACATGAACAAGCGCAACCATGTGAGAAGAAAACCTGAGACTCCACAGACAAAGTAAATGGATTGAGTGAAAAGACCAATTTCTTTTGCAGATCCGCCTGCCCCCAGAGGTGAATCGGCTATTGTACGTGCGGAATTTGCCGTACAAAATCACCTCAGACGAGATGTACGACATATTTGGAAAATTTGGAGCCATTCGACAGATACGCGTGTAAGATACACGTCTGGGTTTTTTTCGCCATGAATCCTTTAAAGAAATTTGCGTATGCTTTACAGAGGCAATACGCCGGAAACGCGTGGCACCGCCTTTGTCGTCTACGAGGACATTTTCGATGCCAAGAACGCCTGTGACCATTTATCCGGTTTCAATGTTTGCAATCGCTATCTGGTGGTGCTCTACTACCAGTCCAACAAGGCCTTCAAGCGCGTGGACATGGACAAGAAGCAGGAGGAGCTGAACAATATTAAGGCCAAGTACAATCTGAAGACACCGGAGGCTCCTTAGAACCAACACTTGGTGCGTCAGGCGGGGATGGAGCAGAGACAGACATTGGGCCCCACCAGATAACGCCCCAATTCCATCGACCATTTTCCATTGTTTAGGGAACTTCTTGCTCTACTTATGTGTATACCAAATTTTTGCTATCTACTTGTAGATTTTTTTGATCGCGTTTTGTATCATTTGAATCTAATCATTATCATCCATCCATCACTCCATCTATCATATAAACGGCTGGACATCGCGGTACGCAGCCATTTGCGCCCGGTTCCGGCTGTTTGCAATCATTTGACGACATTAAGACACTCTCTCATCAAAATAACAAGCAAGTGAAAGTAAAAATAAAAAAAAAATTGAAAAACTATAATCATTTCCTTGTTATTTATAAAGATATTTTATCGGACTTTATTTGAAAAGAAGTTTTACACCCAAAACCATTAGTTATTCTAAAGCTTGCCATTTTGATAAAGACTATTTAATAGCTTAGAAATATTATAACAAGTTATAGTTAAATATTAACCAACAATATAAAATTCCACTCTTTTGGAAAGTCTGTTGACCTATGTCAACCTTGAACTAGTGTCTGTTTAAGGTTCCGCCTTAGATTCTGGACAAGTTTGGCTAGCTGCCGCTGCCTGATACTGTTCGTAGGTGTTTTGCTGCTTCTCTAATGCCCGTTGATTCTCTAAGTCCTTCAGCTCTTCCTTAGCCACCTTCGCAATTTCCTGCCGTAGAGCCTCAACCTTTCGTCTACGCTCACTTTGCTGCAAGGCCTTCTGACGTGCTCTTTCGCTGATTTCCTTCGGTGGCCTTGGGGGTTTCGGCGGCTTTTCGTCATGGACTTTTTGGTGACGGATGAGCGCCGCTTCCTGGCGAAAGTGAGTGCCACATCTCTTACACTCGTAGGGCTTTTCACCAGTGTGTATCCACTCGTGTTGCTTCAGGGATTGGGAGTTGGCGAAGCGACGGGAGCAGTAACGGCACTCAAAGTCCTTGACTTTTTCGTGGACGCTCTTGTAGTGGCGCTTCATGTTGCCCAGGTTATTGAATCCCTGACTGCAGCCGGGACACAAGTGCATGCCCTCCTTCTGCACAAACTTCGCTCGGGCTGGCACTTCGCTGGCTGGTATATGAACTGTGGGAATGGGATTCACTACGGTCCCAGCCAGTTGGGCCAAATCAACTCGCTCTACGCGGCGGGGATCCTTAGGAATGGTGGCTACGGATTCGGCACACACCTTCAGCAGCTGATCCGCGTCCACATGAGTGCCTCTGGCGTCGTCATTTCCTTGCCGCTGTCTATACGTTTCCAGAGCCCTTTCCACGCTCTTCTCATGAATCTTCAGGTGCTTTGTGAGACTCTCCGTGTACAGAAACTTTTTGCCACAAACCTGCAAGGTGAAAGCATATCAGACTATGGTAACAAGGATATAAATGTAACTTCCTTACCTTGCATTCGCATCGCTTTTCACCGGTGTGTGTCATCTCGTGTATTTTACACGCGTGGGATTTCCCGAAAGTCTTTCCACAGTACTGACAAGCAAAATTCCGGATTTTCTCGTGCACGATCTTAACGTGGCTATCCAGAGCCCGCTTCGTATGGGTGGCATGGTCGCAGATGTGACACTTAAACTGTTTCTCCTGTGTGTGCGTCAGTATGTGCTTGCTCCATTCCTGGCGGGTGGTCTTCCCTACTCCGCAGTACGGGCACACGTAGTTCTTGATGCCTGCATGCCGGAGAAGATGGTTCTTTAGGGCACTGTTGATATGGAAGCCCTTGCCGCAAATGTTGCAGGGATAGGGGAGCTCTTCGCCCGTGTGCTTGTACATGTGTTTCTTTAAAGCCACCGGACAACGAAAAACCATGCCGCATTCCCTGCAAGGCTGTTCAACCCGCGGAGCACTAACTCTCGCCTGGTTGTGGACCTTCTTCAAGTGGATGGTCAGCAGGCGGAGACGGGGAAAAACCAATCGACAGCCCTCCACGGTGCAGGGAATCTCATTCGCCTGCTTGGTGTGCGCATAGTCCACGTGGAGACGCAGTGCACCGGCTGTGGTGAAGCCCTTACGGCAACTTTCCTCCTGGCACTGAAACGGCAGCAGATCATTGTGGTGTTTCATGTGCTCCTCGTACTTTGACTGCTTTTTGAACTTTTGCTGGCAGATGGGACAACTAATAAGACGATGCAGCTTAAGCTTGTCGTTCGCAATCCTTCGTCGCTGCGCCAAGGGTTGTTCATCATCGCTGGTAAACCCATCGGAAGGCTTCTTCTCCTCCTCCACTTCGTTGTCCTCTGAACTGGAGGAATCATCTTGGCTTTGGTCACTTGAATGCTCCTCTGGTTCCCTGTCCACCTTTTCCAGCATCTTAAACACATCCTCCTCGTTGTCAATCATCTCCAGTTTGTGATTTAGCAGAGGATCGAAACTAGCCGACTCCTCCGGCCTTCCAGGTGCTTCAGAATCCTCAGCTATGGGTTCGAAAATACCCATGGGTATATTCCTCTGGCTGGTAACTATTTCTTTAAGACGTTTAATGGATCTTTCGCACAGTTCCCGGAAATCGTTCAGCTCGTTCAACTTAGTGAAACATTGGGTGCACAGGTTCTTCGGGAATCCGTCGTTTTGTTCCGCTTCAAACGAAGTGCAAGCCATTAGTTTCTTGGACAGATCTGGAACCACAAAGAGGTCGTGTCCAACGCCATGCTCCAGGTGGATGAGACAGGTGCGACAAAGCGAAAGGACGGAGTACTGGAGCTCCCTGGTGCCCATTTCTCCCGAATCTCGGGGAGATCACAAGCCGAGCTTCAAAACAAATTTGTTGCAGTGTGACAGGCAGTGTGACCGTTTCGCTTTCTTATTAACCCATTTTGGTGTACTGGGGTAAAAAATAAACAGAATGTTTTTATTTATTTATTATTTATTGAATAAAAAGCTATTTAAATGGATATGCTTATGAGAGACCATACTGATTCCTAGTTAAAATAAAATTTTGTTGACTTATTTTGAAATTTAAATATTAATTGTAATATTAATATATTTTTATGTTAATTTTCGTATCTATTATTTCGTATCTATATTTTCAAGAGCACTGAATTAAAATTCATCGAAATGTCGTTACTTTTGCATAGTTACACTAAGTTTTTTTTGACTTCATTTCAATATACATATGTGTAAATTTTCTTGATTTTCGTATCTAGATATCTCAAAATATTTCGTTTGAAAATATTTGTGAAATATTTTTAATAAAAGCACTGAAATACTGTTTGGAGTATGCAAAAAATGTTAATTGACTATAAGTACATTTTTTGTTAGAGTTTTGTGTGTACTATAGTAACTGCAACCCAATTAGAATTACAAATAAGTAATAAGAAAAAACATTGATTGCCCAGCCCTGGGAAACATAACAACCAGGCACTCTGACGAGTAACTCGCTGGCAGTTGTACTTGCTTATTGCCCACTCGCTCGATTGCCAGTCGACGAGTATACAATTTTTTCTGTGTCAATATTATTTTATTGCTTACTGACCGGAGAGAGACGCAAAAAGCTATAGAAAACCGCCCCGATTCGCAGTGCCGATTGCGATTGAAAGCAAGATGAACGAGGGCAGGCAGTACTCGATCCACAGTCTGTGCAGGATCTGTCTGAACCACCTGCAGAACGACGCCGCCTACGATTTGTATATGGTGCCAGGACTTTCTAAGAAGCTGTGTTTCTGCACATCCCTGTCCGTGGAACAGAACGATGGCTTCCCAAAGAACCTGTGCACCCTGTGCTATACCAAGCTGAACGAGCTGCACGACTTTCAGAAGCAGTGCGTCGATTCGGTGCAAAAGTTCCAGGATCTGGTGGCCAGCAACGTCTTTGCCTGCCAGAGCAGCTTCGACGTTTTCGATTCCAATGTTGCTGTGCAGGACTACCAGGCTGAGGAGGAGGACCACGTCAACTATGATCCGCTACTGAACCATAAGATGGAGCTGATCGAGAACGAGGAGGATGTCTTCAAAATGCTGGAACACGTTGACAAGGAGGCCGAGGAGGTGGAGAAGGAGGCCAAGGTGGAGGAGGATGACGGGGGCAACGTTTCCGTCAAGATGTTTGACGACGATTCCTCCATCGAGAGCGGCAACGACAACGACCACGACCTGGACTTCGAACCAAACAGCAGTGATGATGACATTCCGCTGGCCCAGCGAATGCGGGGACCAGCTACCGGGTCCGGATCACACCAGGACCGTTTCAGCAACCTCGACAAACCCAAGCCGAGGCCCAGGGGACGGCCCAAAAAGATAAAACCGCCTCCGCCAGAGGAGGAGGAGTTGAGCGGCTCATCCTCCGAATCAGATGACTCCGAAGACGATGCATCGCGGGGAGATAAGCCCAAGAGGAAGCGCATTCCCATCGAGGAACGCCACCTTCACCGCATCATCGACTGCCACATTTGCCACCAGAAGTTCAAGAAGGCCATCCGATACGAGGAGCACATGAAGTACCACAACGACCTACTGCCCTTCCAGTGCAAGGTGGAGACCTGCAAGAAAGGTATGTCGCTGGCTAAAAAAGCACACAATCTTTCCGATCTTTATGATCTCCTGCCTTTTAGGTTTCACCACCGCCAATGGGCTGCGCATACACATTGACCACGCGCATACAGAGCTGTCCGAGGTTCACGCCTGCATCGCCGAGGGCTGCGGCAAGACCTTCCCGCGCGTCCGCCTGCTCACCTTCCACATGAAGAAGGTGCACGGCATTACCAAGGCGGCGGCTCCGCTTCGGGACTTCCCCTGCACAGAATGCGACACCGTATTCCGCTGCCCCACAGCGCTTAAGAAGCACATGTATAAGCACACGGGCGAGGAGCTTCCGTATCCTTGCAATATCTGCGGCAAGCGTTTTGTAATCAACAGTGCTTTAAGGGATCACCTTATGCGACACGCGGGCATCAAGAACCATGTGTGCCCGTACTGCGGAGTGGGCAAGACGACGCGCCAGGAATGGAACGCCCACATTCTCACGCACACCAAGGAGAAAAAGTTCAAGTGCCGACAGTGCGACCATGCCTCGCACAACAAACAGGCTTTGTCCAATCATGTGAAGGTGGTGCACGAGAAGCGCAAGGACTTTGCGTGCCAGTACTGCGGAAAGACCTTCGGCAAGAGCCACGCCTGCAAGGTGCACGAGAGGAGTCACACTGGGGAGAAGTGCTGCGAGTGCAAGATCTGCGGCAAGATATTCCTCTGCGAGAAGAGCCTCACCAAGCATTTGAAGACGCACGAGAAACGGGATCTGCCGCCGGCAGAGCCCCTTCGCCAGCAGCTTAACATTCCCATGCCCGGCCAAATGTCCGTACCGATGCCGGGGCAGATGCCGGGCCAGATGCCGATGCAGATGCAGACCGACGGTTTGGTACAAATGGATCCCAACCAGATGCCCAGTGAGGACATGCTCAAGGCATGCGGCGGCGGGACCGCTGCAGTGCCTCCCAAACCGAAGAACTCGCGACGCGTCCAGCGGGTGGACATTTCTCAGCTGGCGGGCACTGCGGTGAATCCAATACCTTCCGTCTCCGTGCCCTCGTGGTCGCCGCAGGTGAACTTCACCAAGAAGGAGGGCCAGCACATATGTCCAGGCTGTGGACGTGGCTTTAATAACATTGGAAACATGAAACTTCATTACAAAATCATCCACGAGAAGGTCAAGGACTTTGCCTGCCGCTTTTGCCCCAAGAGATTCTCCAAGGCACAGATTCTGCGGCACCACGAATGGATCCACACGGGCGAGAAGCCCTTCGAGTGCAAGATTTGTGGCAAGCACTTCCGCCAGGAGACGGCACTCAAGAAACACATCAAGACGCACGAGAAGCCCAACAGGCGACACGTGCCCGAGCGCAGTGCGCCCACTCAGATCACGTTCCGCAAGCTGGAACCGGACGCCGAGCCGCGTAACTTTGACCAGTACCAGGATCCGGCGGTGGAGCGGGCAGCGGCCACCGCCGAGCTACTGGCGCACCAGCTGGAGGAGAACGAGGCCAAGCGGAAGGCGGAAATCGAGCGGCAGAAGATCGCGGCGGCGGCCTGCGAGCAGCTGACGAAGCTGCAGCAGCAGCAGGAGATCATCAAGGCGACCACCTCCTACGATGGCTATTATGCGCAGAAAGCGCAATCCGAGGGCACCAGCCTGGATGCCCTGAAGATCGACCATGTTTAGGCAGAAGGATTGGCTTTACTTTACTAGCATATACGCATAAACTAGCGACATCCATATGTATCCACTTCCACTGCAGCTGTCACTGTCCGGAAAGTTTTAGGCATGCCTCGAATTGCTCTCTAGCTGGATCAGATTGTAGGTTTATAGGCACTCCAGATTATCCGAGTGCATATTACAATATGAACACTTCTTACTTTTTACGTACGTTTATACATACATGCAATATATGTATTTTGTTTTCCGTGTAATGTCTCCCGTGCTTACTTAGAGTAATGGATTAAAAATAATATTCATAACGCCATTGGAGTTTCCATCTGGTGGGAGGGACATTAAGAGACCACTTTGCAATACCAGTGATTTTTACAATTATATATTAATAACGATAAACATTTTTTTAGCCCACAAGAACATTAATCAAACCTTTATATAAAATAGTTCATTATTTTAGCTGAAATCCATCTGGATGGTTATACTAAATTTTGTTTTATATAGTTCGTTCTTTAACTTTAGACAAATAAAGATAACAATTGATTTTAACTCGAGGACTAAGAAACATTTTGGGTAACAAAATGAGGTGAAAGGATGATTCTACTGGGAAAGTTTACTTTCTTCAACTACGTCGGTATCCTCAGTGGGTGCTCCGCTGTTCAGTGGATTAGGTGACTCCTGGAACAAATTAGGTATTCTTGTGTAATAATTTTTTAAAGTTAAGGAGGAGACTTAACTGTCCAGTCACTGCCGCCATTCTTATTTAACTCCATCAGAGTTGAGAAAATTAACTTTGCTTCCTTTCTGTTGTCGTCGGCTTTCTCCAAAACCATCCTCTGCTTCTCCAGGACCTCTGCCAACTTTGTGATCTCCAGCTTGAGCCTATTGTTCTCATTCCCGGCATTTTGCAATGCCAGTTCCGTGCCCAATATTTTGGCCTCAGCTTCGAGGGCTTCTATGGAGTCCTTGTCTGGCTGATCCATATTTTTCACAACGTACTATTTCTCGGCACGACAAGTAAATAAATAGCTGCTATAGAAACGATCCATAGGAACACACATACACCCTAATGTATTTAAAATAAAATTTACCAGTCCATCAACTTTAAGAACCCTTTAAATAGTTTTCATCTCGAACGTAATATGTATACGTAAATATTAAAATATTACATGTTAATTAAACAAATATCAAAAAGAAGCAAAATAACGATATTTCATATTTTTTCTCTTCGTATTGATCTAGGACTATTTTCGTGCTCGTAGCTGTCAGGCAGGCATATTTACGTGAACGCGACTGTGTGACTTAACTACGAATACACACACTCGCTGGGCCTGGGTCTAATACGCCCATCGTACCCTCTCCGCTGCGCACATGCATGTGCATGGGAAAAACAAAACAAAACGCCTGAGTGTGGGTGGCGAGTGCTAGAGCTGCGCAGTTTTTCAGCGAGCGTACTCGTCGCTTGTGGGTAATCGATAACCCGAATTGCTGACGAGCGCACACACACGCACGCGAGTACACATAAATGTGTGTTGTATTGGATTTTTTTCTCGGTGATAGAACATTTCGGATTGCTGTCGTTTTCGCGATTTCTGGATTTCGGCATCGTCCAGCATCGTATTGAGTGTCCAAAATGAATGAGGGGAGCCAGTACTCCATCCACACGGTGTGCCGCACCTGCCTGTCCACCGTGGACGACTCGGCGGCCTACGATCTGTTCAGAGTGCCCGGTCTGGCCAAAAAGCTGTGCGTTTGCACCTCCTTGTCCGTAGAGCAGGCGGATGGCTTCCCCAAGAACCTGTGCACTGTCTGCTTCTCCAAGCTGAACGACCTGCACGACTTTCAGAAGCAGTGCGTCGATTCGGTGCAGAAGTTCCAGGATCTGGTGGCCAGCAACGCCTTCGCCTGCCAAACAAACTTCGATGTCCTGGACACGAGTGCCGCGGTGGCGGATCTGCCGGGCGAGGAGGAGGACAACGTCCACTTTGATCCGCTTCTCAACTCCAAGATCGAAATCATTGAGAACGAGGAGGACGTCTTCAAGATGCTGGAGTCCGTCGAAAAGGAAGTCGAAGAGGTGGAGATGGAGATGGAACAGCCGTTTGGTCAAGAATCGCAGGATGACTCATTTGAGAGCGGCAACGATAACGACCTCGACGCAGACTTCCAGCTTAGTAGTGACGACGACATTCCACTGGCCCAGCGCAGCCGACGAGGAGCGCCCCGAGGTTCTAGGGCGAAGGGCAAGCCGAAGTCGGCTGCCAAGCGGCAGGAGGAGGAGGAGGAGTCCGAGGAGACCAGCTCCTCAGACGACTCCGATGGCAATCCCAAGGACAAACCCAAGCGCAAAAGGATTCCAGCTACGGAGCGGGACCGCCACCGCCTGATTGACTGCCACATCTGCCACCAGAAGTTCAAGAAGGCAATTCGCTACGAGGAGCACATGAAACATCACAACGACTTGCTACCCTTCCAGTGCACCGTCGAAAGTTGTCGGAAAGGTAATCCCCGCCTGCAGATCATAGAGAACAAGATTTATATAATTTTTTTTAATTCCAGGCTTTACCACCGCCAATGGACTGCGTGTCCATGTGGAACACGCCCACACGGAGACATCGGCCATGCATCCGTGCACCTACGAGGGCTGCAATAAGTCCTTTGCCCGTCCCGTGCTGCTCAGCTTCCACATGAAACGTGTGCACAAGGTGGACACTCCGCAGAGGGACTTCCCCTGCACGGAGTGCGAGAAGGTCTTCCGCTGCCCAACTGCCCTCAAGAAGCACATGTACAAGCACACCGGCGAGGAGCTGCCCTTCGCCTGTGAAATTTGCGGCAAGCGCTTCCCCATCAATAGTGTGCTGCGCGACCATCTGCTCCGACATGCGGGTATCAAGAACCACGTGTGCCCGTACTGCGGAGTGGGCAAGACGACGCGCCAGGAGTGGAACAAGCACATCTTGACCCACACGAAGGAGAAGAAGTACGAGTGCCGGCAGTGCGACCACGCCTCCCACAACAAACAGGCGCTGGCCAACCACGTGAAGGTGGTGCACGAGAAGCGCAAGGACTTCGCCTGCCAGTACTGCGGAAAAACCTTTGGCAAGTCGCACGCCTGTAAGATTCACGAGCGGAGTCATACCGGCGAAAAGTGCTGCGAGTGCAAGATCTGCGGCAAGGTGTTCCTCTTCGAGAAGGGTCTCACCAAGCATTTGAAGACGCACGAGAAACGTGATCTGCCCAAGACGCAGGGCGGCAACTCGGTGATGGGTGACGGTGCCAGTGGATCCTCGACAATAGCTAAGCCCAGTCCGCACCTGCGTGGTCGCGTCGAGCGGGTGGACATTGCCCAGCTGGCGGGAACGGTGGCCAATCCGATTCCATCGGTCAACCTGCCCTCGTGGTCGCCGCAAGTGAACTTCACCAAGAAGGAGGGCCAGCACATTTGCCCGGATTGCGGCAAGGGCTTCAATCACGTGAGCAACATGAAGCTGCACTACAAGGTGGTACACCAAAAGGTCAAAGACTTCTGCTGCCGCTTCTGCCCGAAGAGATTCGCCAAGAAGCAGTATCTGCGGCACCACGAGTACATTCACACTGGCGAAAAGCCTTACGAGTGCAAGGTGTGCGGCAAGCATTTCCGGCAGGAGCAGGTGCTCAAGACGCATATGAAGGTTCACGACAAGCCGCCTCGTCCGCCGGGCAAGCCCAAGGAGCCGGCCGGACCGAAGGCGGAGTCCAGCACCGCGGTGAAGCGCCAGCAGCCGAAGAATTTCGAGCAGTACCAGGATCCGGCGGCGGAAAGGGCAGCGGCCACCGCCGAGCTGCTGGCCTACCAAATCGAGGAGAACGAGGCCAAGCGCAAGGCAGAGGCGGAGCTTCGGAAAATCCAGGAGGCTGCCTTCGAGCAGCTAAACAAGCTGCAGAAGCAGACAAACACGTACGATGGCTTCTACGCTCAGAAGGCGGAGGCGGAGGGCACCTCGGTGGACGCACTGAAGTTGGATCATGTTTGAGCGGCTGAATCAACCGGGAACATTTGCGAACAAAACCAAACAGTTTACGCATCCGTTTCCGACCCTTTCATTATGTGTTTCTATGAAGGACATATGAGTTATAGGTCTCTAAGGTTTACCAACTAGTTTCCGTCACTTTGCAAACATGTTTTGACTTTATTTGTATTTAAACCCCCCCTTTAACTGCTTAAGTTTGTACTTTACTAAATGTATTCATTTAAAAATGATTTTAATATAATAAACAGTAATAAGCATTGATAATTAGAATTTAAAATTCTCTTCAGTGTTGGTAAACGTTTATAATTTTGGTAAACAAGGCAGAGATGAGCTGTAGTGCAGCCAACTCAACTTTTTTCCAGCTACATTCAACTTGCTTACAACTTATTTGAAACACATTTATTTAGTTTAAATAAATAAATAAATTGATAGACGTACATACATAATATAACAAAAATGTTTAAAACACATTTTATTTTGTTTAATAATGCCATACACGTTTCTAGCCGTTTTAATAATCTTTCTATCTTCTTATGGCTGTCCATACTGGGCATCACTGGGGAGTATTTTTTAGTATTTGTTTTGGTTAGTCTGACGCGTAAAGTTTTTCACGACTTAATATTCCGTGGATTTGGCCACTAGATTCCCCCTGGAACAGGCATCATGGAGGAGGAGGCCGATGTAGCCCAGTACTCGGTACACGCGGTGTGCCGCATCTGCCTGAATCGCCTGCCAGAGAATGGCGGCGGAGCAGGATCCTTTGACCTGTTCCTGATCCCCGGATTGGCCAAGAAGTTGTGTGTCTGCACTTCGCTGGCCGTGGAACAGTCGGATGGCTTTCCCAAGTGTCTGTGCGCGCCGTGCTTCAGCCGACTGGACGACCTGCATCAGTTCCAAAAGCTGTGCGTGGACTCGGTGCAAAAGTTCCAGGACATGGTGACCAGGAACGTCTTTTGTCCGCCAGCGAGTGGGCAGATAAATAACTTCGATTTGCTCAACGTAGCTGGAAACGAGCCCGAACTGGTGGGCCAGGATGAGGAGGATCGCATCAACTTCGATCCGCTATTGGACCACAAAATGGAGATGATCGAGAACGAGGAGGATGTGTTTAAGATGTTGGAGCACGTGGACAAGGAGGCCGAGCAGGTTGAGAAGGAAGTGAAGCAAGATGAAATGGATGCCGCCGATCTGATGACCATTTTTGCCGCGGATTCCTCGGAGGAGAGCGACGAAGACTTTGACCAAGATGTGGACTTTGAGCCTAACAGCAGCGATGGTGACGATGATGTGCCTTTGGCACAGCGATTAAGGGATAATTCCCGGTCGAAACCAAAAGCGAAGGCACCCGTAATTAAGGAAGAGGAGGAGGAGGAGGTAATTTCAGGCTCCGAGGAGGATGACGAGGACGGAGAGAAGTCAAAGAGCCGGCGCAAGAGGATTCCGACTGGCGAACGCCACCTGCACCGCATCATCGACTGTCACATTTGCCACCAAAAGTTCAAGAAGGCCATCCGCTACGAAGAGCACATGAAGCACCACAACGATCTCCTGCCCTTCCAATGCAAGGTGGAAACCTGCAGGAAAGGTGTGTAATAATGGGTACACATTGCGTTCTCGTTTTAATCTCATGCACTTATAGGTTTCACCACCGCTGGAGGATTAAGGCTTCACATCGACCACGCCCACACGGAGCTATCCGAGGTCCACTCCTGCAATGTCGATGGCTGCGGCAAGACCTTTCCACGTATACGCCTGCTCACCTTTCACATGAAAAAGATGCACGGTATTACCAAGGCAGCGGCGCCTCCAAGGGATTACCCTTGCACCGAGTGCGAGAAGGTATTCCGCTGTCCCATGGCGCTCAAGAAGCATATGTACAAGCACGACGGCAAGGAGCTGCCATTCCCCTGTAACATTTGCGGCAAAAGGTTTGTGATCAATAGTGCTTTAAAGGATCATCTGATGCGGCACGCGGGCATCAAGAACTACGTGTGTCCTTACTGTGGGGTGGGAAAAACCACCAGGCAGGAATGGAACACGCACATACTGACGCATACCCAGGAGAAGAAGTTCAAGTGCCACATCTGCGAGCACGCCTCACACAACAAGCAGAGTCTGGCCAATCACATTAAGATCGTGCACGAGAAGATCAAAAACTATGCGTGTCAATACTGTGGAAAGACTTTCGGGAAGTCACACGCTTGCAAGATCCACGAGATGACGCACACGGGAGAAAAGCGATGCGAGTGCAAGGTAAGAGTAGAATGATACTTTAAGCCAGCAACCTCATTCCAACGTTTCATTTGTAGGTCTGTGGGAAGAAGTTTCTCTACCCTAAGAGCCTGACCAAGCACTTAAAGACTCATGAAAAGCGTGTGCTTCGTGCTATTGAAACCTACCGCCAGCGGCAGGTGGAAATGGGCGAGACACCTGGTGAGCAGTTCGAAAATCCCCCTGCGCCACCAGTTGAGGGCGTATCCATTGAACCGATCATGTCGCAAAACGCTGCTGACGAATTGCTCAAGGTGTGCGCCGAATCCGTGGCTACCATACCTAAAGATCCACGCCGTGTACAACGAGTGGATCTGGCGCAGTTGGCTGGCACTGCTGTGAATCCCATACCCTCAGTTTCAGTGCCGTCATGGTCGCCACAGGTGAACTTCACCAAGAAGGAGGGCAAACATATCTGCCCCGGGTGTGGTCAGGGATTCAACAACATCGGAAACATGAAGCGGCACTATAAGATCATCCACGAGAAGGTCAAAGACTTTGCCTGCCGCTTTTGCCCAAAAAGATTCGCAAAGGCTCAAACGCTGAGGCACCACGAGTGGATTCATACGGGCGAGAAACCCTTTGAATGCAAGACCTGCGGCACCCGTTTCCGCCAGGAGACGGCGTTAAAGCGCCACCAGCGAACCCACGAGAACCGTCCACCCGTTATTTCGCCCAAGTTCTATGCCGCTCGCGAGGAGCTGGAAGAGCAGGAACGCAGCAAGAGAGAGGCAAAGCGCCAGGCGGATGCGAAGCGACGCGAAATCGCTGAGGCGGCCAAGGAGCAGCTTTCCTCGCTACACAAGCTTGAGAGCAGTGACCGCAGTCTGCACTCCTACGACGAGTACCAGGAGGCAGCGGCGGAGCGGGCAGCGGCATCCGCCGAACTCCAGGCGCAGCAGTTCGAAGAGAACGAGGTAAAGCGACTGGCGGAGGAGGAACGCCGCAAGATTCAGGAGGCTGCCTACGAGCAACTGCAGCGGTTGCAGCATCAGCAGGAGATTGACAAGGCGCAAAGCTCCTACGATGGCTACTACGCTCAGAAGGCGCATGCCGATGGCACCAGCTTCGATGCCTTAAAAATCGATCACGTCTGAGATTTGGCCGGCGTTTAACGCTGTCGCAGATGGAAAATCAATCATGGGTTTTTTATGAAAAGCAATACCTTATTATCCTTATGGAAACAGTGTGTGTAAGATGGAAATAAGTCATAAGCAGAAAACATGTTTTAATACAATTAAGTTTAATGTCACTAATGCTAGTACAAATAATACTGTACATTAATCAGGAAAAGACACATTACCTATGTGGATTCGAGTTAAGTTAAATGATTCTGGACTATATTGAGAGGTTGCCAGTCTAAGAAATTATACAACTCCAAAATGAAATGTTTTTCTGCATTTTTCTGGGGGACGGAATACATTATTAATTATATTATATTACATAACAAAAATTTGTTTCCTGGATTAGCTTTTCAATAAATGAACAGTTTGTGGCAGTTATATATTTATATATAAAGAATGAATTTACATTGGCAGATCAAGCAAATGTGTATGCAATCTTGCCGTATTAACTCAATTCGGAATGGGTTACTTTAAATTCAATTGCTCTACTCCTCGTTGAGTATGAATAGCTTCTTAAGGCTGTCTAGTGTCATGTTCTCCAGATCCCAGTGAGTTGAAAGTGTGGTCGTGTCATCGGCAGAAGTAATTAGCGAGAGAATATTCTCCTCAACCGTTCCATTTACAATAAAACGATGCACCTTCGTGGGTCTGCAAAAATCGAATGACTGACAGCACCTATATTTCAATAGCGCACTCACTTCTTTTGTCCAAATCGGTGAATACGACCTATGGCCTGGTGCTCGTCGCTTGGATTAAGAATAGGTTCGACGAGGAAAACATGTGTGGCCTCGATCAGATTTAAGCCCTTTGAACCTTTGGATAGGGGCATTAGTAGACAGGTGACATTGCTAACTGGATTCTAAAAGAGGTAAAATGGTTAGCAGTGTTATATGAAATTCCAAAGCAAGATAAAAACCTTGAAATCTTCAAAATCCTTATTGGTGCACTTGTTGCGAAAGCGAATGCCGTTGAGACTGAGGGCTCTGGCAATTTCAATGAGAATCGCCTGCCATTGGGAGAATATAATAATCTTTTCCATTTCATTGTCGCCTTTAATTTTCAGCACTAATTCCACAATACTGGAAATTTTTGTAGAAAAGTCTCCGATAATTGACTTGTGGGCTCCCGGACGAACCGAGTAATATAATCTATAAGAAATATATGGTTACAAGCGGCATGTGGAGGAGCAATCCCAAAACATTACTGTGGCGAGTCCTGTCGACAAAGTGGACACGTTGTGACGCTAGCTCGGCCGCTCTTTCTCCTCATGGTATCCAGGCAGTGCTGGCACACAAAATGTCCACATACCATCATCACATACTGAAACGAAACAAGAAGCCTTAGCACAGCAAAATTTGTAGAAATTTGGCTAATTACCCTGACGTCATCTTGCGTACGGCAGATGGGACAAGGCTTGTCGGCGGAATCCTCTTTCAGATGCTTCAGGTACTTTAAACGACCGCACAGTCTTGTGAAGTTCAACTGCGACTGCTGCAGATTATACTGATTGAACTCTAGCTGCCCGTCCAACTGGCAAGCCAGCATTCTGTAGTTTGATTGCTCCCTAGGATCGTCGGTGAGAAGAATGCGCATCTTGCACATTTGCAGTTCGTCAAATGCCTTGACCATGTACTCCACCTCGATCCAGTACTTGATTTGAAACTTGACCAAGTCCTGTAGGCAGGACAGCAAATCCAGTTTGCTCTGGCATTCCTCTTTCCACTCAATAAAATCATGCTTAGACCGCAGGAAGGCGAAGATGGCTGTTTGGATATGAAAATATGTTATTCTGCGAAACTTAAAATGTGCTTTTATCTTTGGTTACATTTAATGAAACTTATTTCCATGCTTGGATTTTCCAAACCCTCAGTAACTGTAGCCTGTTCGTCTAGCTTTTTGGCAAACAGAAGACACTCAAATTGATTCAATGAATCGCGAATCTTGCACAGACGACAATGACGATGCTTCTTGGGTTTCTCTGGCTTACCCTTATCCTTTTTTTCGTCCTATTAAATTTGTGTTTATTAGATATGTGTGTATTTATAATGTGTATCCAAACTTACCAAAATATCTGCCAAGTGACAATCGGTTACGCTTCCTATAAAGTTGTTTATCTCCTGGGAGAGCGCCACTCCTGTTTTGATAGCCTCACAAGCTTGCTGCATAACTTCTTTCAGATATTCAAACTCAGTAAACAAACTGCTTCTTAACTTTTGTAGCTTATTATGCCATAGATCCATAAAGTATAGCATTCCGGCCATGGAGTTAACATTTTCGAGCCTTTCTACAGAAATGTTTTGGCGGAAGAAGTCATCCCGGACTTTGTTCCAAATAGCATCGTGAAGGGAGGTTTTGTGGTTCACCACCGTTGCCAGCAGGTCCACAGTACTGCCCTCGAATCGTTCCTCCAGTTTGCGAACTTTTTCGAGACATTCGTTGTAGCAGCTGAGTGCGCTTTCAAGAACGTATGTATTATCCTCTAAATACTTCCACTCCAGTCGCTTCATTTGAGCCTGATACTTTTTCTGCTCCAGTTCTGATAATTTGTCTGCAGTGGGAGCTAGTTCATATGCCTGTAGAAGGTTGTATATAGCATGAATTTGAAGCACACTGTCAACACTGAAAAGATAAAATGACCATATTAAATATATATTTGTATATCAGTAATAAAAAATGAAACATACGATATATTTTGCTCGTTATATTCATCAGCCAGCTTTAACAGGAGATTATAATACTTAATGGCTTGTGAGAAATCTTCTTTTATGAAGTGTATGGCGGCCAGGCCGTTGTAGGAGGATGCCCAGCTGCGCAGCTCTGCCTTACACTCGTACTCGTTGTTGGACTTCAGACGCGCCAACAGATCCTGCGGGTGTAGGTAGTCGGTGCTGGATACATTGCTGTTGAGCACTACTGGTACTGAGCAGGTCTGACGGATGCGGAGAAAGGGCTTCAAGATGATGCGCAGCAGTTGTGGAGAGATGGAGTTTAGGCAGGAGCTATTGTCTGCGTTGTGCCGGGTGTGTTTAGCCACAGCAGAAAGGAATTGTTCGTGACACTTTAAATGCTCTTCGCGGTAGTACAGGGACTCCACGTTGCTGAGCTCCAAGCGGTGAACAACTTCCGTTTGCGGTGGAATTCCCAGTTCGTGCTCCACTTTGGACTTGCAGGTACGCCACAGGCTGTGCTCGAGGAGTTCCAGCAGCGGCTCGCATTTGTAGTTAAGTTGAAAGGCCTTGTCGACAGTTTGCCAAGCATCCGGTGGCCTACAGACTTCATGCCGGCCCACGAACTCCAACAGTGGCGGCAATTCGTCAATTGTGCCAGTAACGGCCCATCGATTAATGGCCGGCAGCATTCTAACCATCTCGGCAGCTGCTGAAGTGTTGCTCTCCACCATCTGGGTGGGTTTTAAATAGTTTAGAAAATATTCAGTAAGCCGTGGATGCAAAAGTAAAAAATTCGCGTTACCTGTGCCTCATCCAGGCAAACGCGCCACCAGTTTACCATTAGAAGTGGGGAGTTAGGTCGCATGTACATTTGTTGGTGGCGCATCTGGCGGTCTGACTTGTAGTCCGTTGTATGGTATATTTCGTTACGCAGTATCGTATAGTCGGTAAGCACCACATCGTACTCGGCCAGATTGAGAGGACTAACCCATAAGGTTGAGTGTAGGCCGTAATAAGGTAGCACCTTAAGGGATGGTGATATATGCTTGTGTATCTCTGCGAACCATTGCATCTTGATAGCATTCGGAGAAACAATGATTGTGGCACCGCTTTCTACAAGCTTTTCGCTGGACTTTACCAAATCGGACCAACAGCTGGGACACATGTGTGGTACGGCTGATGTATCTGAAATAGTCATACATGTTTCGTGCTGCCACCGACGGCATTTGGTGCACTGCACCCGTTTACCAAGTTTCTTGGTGCAGATGCAGAAAACCTCTTGTTGTTTGGTCATGCGTGCCCGCTTTAGTGGCACATCATCGGAAATCTCCTCCAGGCGTTGGTGCCAGTAATCGTTCCGATAGGAGTCCTGCGGGCGCGGATTCATAAGCAGCATGGCCAGGAACTCTACGGTTTTACCCAGGCCCATCTCGTCCGCCAGGATGCCACCCGGCGGCAGCGAGATTTTAGGAATCTCCTCCTCGAATGGGTAAAATTGTAAGCAGTATTTATGCTTAAAGACGCGACTTCTGCCATCAATAGCATGGAGCACTATGTAGTTGGCCGGTAGTTGAGTGATCTGCTGCTCCCGCCCAAGCATCCAGGATACAGTGCGCTGCTGGTACTTGCGTAACTGAGATTGAAATCTTTTAGGCAGGCTTAGCGAAGATTCCTGTTCAACATTAATGTTTTGGCGGTGTTTTTCGTAGAGGGCGTCATACAGCTTGGTGGTCACGTATGTCTTTAAAGGACGCTTGTGCTCCTTCTCCTGCTGGGCCACCTCGAACTCCAGACTGCTTCTAAAGTCCTTAAAGAAAAGGGGCAGAAGTTTTTCTCCCACTTCCATTTCGATGGCACGGGCTCGAACATGTGTCTGTTCATGGCAGATCACCAGCATGCAGGTGGCCGAGTCCTGCCGGATGGTCTTGAATTTCAGCTTTCTGGTCCGAGCATTCTGGCCTGAAAAATATTTTTAGTAATAATTATAATAAACAATTCCGACGCGTAAGCCTACGCACACTTTTTAATACAAATCAAAATCTCCTCCTTATGCTCAACTAGAAAATCCTTGAACACCCATCGCCTTTTTCTATAGTAAAACTCCGCTGGATCTTCGGGACATTCTGGCGGCACTTCATCCGCAATTTCGCACAAAACAATTCCATCCATTGTATTTCGCGAAAAAAGAATACGGTCAAACAAATGTGCGATGACCGCCAATTCACTATGCGATGTCAGAAAAAACGATAATGGACACTTAATGCCACGTCTTCACTGCTCACTTTTAGCGATTGCAACTGGCGTGTCTTGCTGTTCCGAAAAAACAGAACATATTTGGTAGTTATCAAATCAAAGCAATTCCGGCAAAAATGGCACAAAAACAAAGATCTCAATTTCACATATGAATTGTATTATATATTATCACCAAATAATATATAGAAATATTATTTTTCATGGAAACTAATTTATATGTTATTTTAGCTATAAGTATACGCTGTAGTTATCGTGTGAACAAGTTAAGGAATAACCATCGATAACCGATTGTTTGAGGACACGGTCGATCGGACACAGATATCACACTGAGTTAATGTACCCTTTAATCGAATATTGTCCACCTCTACGAAGCAGTGAAGAAAATTATAGCGTGGTTTTTTCGATTGAAAAACAATTAAAAGTGCAACAAACAGTGAGCAAAACAAAGTCCAACCAACTCGTAAGTGTGGGCCCAACCACCTCTCAACCGTTGCAAGGCCAAACGACCGGCGTACACCCAATTTTCGGCCCGCATTCGTAGTGTATATGTGAGGCCTGCTTGGCATAATTACAAAAATTTACGCATTACTTTGTGAGAGCCGAGTGTCGAGCTGAGTCTAGATTGTTTTCAGTATATTAATTACGCGATTCCGCTTATCCAAATCTCCAATCCCGTCCCGCAGTGCCGTGCATGCCAAGTCATCAGCGTTCCGCGAGTCCAGCGAAGATTGATCTTGTTTCACCCAGCCTGAAAGTGTCACCGCCAAGACGTACGTGCGAAAAATGTTTTGGGACAAGGGTTATGCGCCCTCCGCGAATATAGAGGCGCTGCTCGAGAAGGAGGTAGGTTAACTCTAACCCGTGGTGATCAACTGGAAATGTCTTAGTTCCGCGTCGTGCCCATTCGCAGACCTCCACGCTGGAGGAATTTCTGGATGAGGAGGACATACTGCAGGAGTGCAAGACGCAAAAGAAGAACCTGGTCAACTACTTTACACGTCCCGAGGTCATCCGGCGTCTGGTGGAGCTGATCACGACCGAGCCCTCTGAAGATGTGCCCATGTCGCAGCGATTCCGCTATGCAAACATGTCCTGTGAGATACTCACACTGTAAGATTTGAATGCCCGTTGCCATCCAGAATTCTATAGCCCATGCCTTTCAGCGGCCTGCCGTCCCTGGATGAGAAGCTACTGAACGACGCGGAGACGCTGCACCTGCTGTATTCATATCTGGAAAAGGAACCACCGTTAAATCCATTGCTATCGTCGTTTTTTAGCAAAACGTTTAGCATGCTCTTTACCAAAAAGCCTGAACAAGATTGGTTTTTGTATCAACACATGTGCCTACAACTCCTGGAGTATATTAAATCGCAGAAGACCTTTTTGGATTTCATTTGTAAACACTTTGACACACCGGTTATACCTGATCTAATAATGCAGATGATGAAGGACATCGATGGTGGGCGACTCAAGCGGAACCTTTTCGAAGTAAGTCCCTTGAAAATCCATTCCAAGGCATACAAATCTTATCGAATATTTACTTGAACAGTGGCTAACTGAAGATAAAATTGTTGAGAGACTGATTGCAATATTGCGTAATCCTCAAGAAACCGACAAACATGCAAATGTTGCCGACTTTTTCTGTGATCTTATTAACCAAGGGCGCCTAATGCGCCAGACCGAGCAGGAGAACGATTCTTTTGAGCCGGCCTTCGATGGATCCAACCCCATACTGAAGACGATCGAATCTGCGGACACAATTGAAGCCTTGTTAAATGTGATTTTGGAACCAAACGCTCAGGAGAGCGCCATCTTATCAGGAATATCGGTTGTACTTACGCTAATCAAGCCAATTACCTTCACGTAAATTATACCACCAGTGATTTTGTCACCTCATCCTAATTGGGTTATATTTATTTCCTGTAGAGATGAGCCAAACTCGGATCGCCAGCGATTGTTGCAAAAGCGCGAACGCGAATTCCACCAGGAAGTCCAGGAGACTGTGATCACTGTGATGGCGCCACGCCTCCAGGAATTTGTCCACATACTGAAAAACCCGCCTGCGGTTAGCATGAAACTTTTTGCCACAAAGAACCAGCTGTTTATCTTTTTACTTGTAGAAACCCACGCTAGAAACCACGGCCGCCGTGTTGTCGCCCCCATTTGGCAACACTCGACTGCAAGTGTGCCGAGTGTTCACCGCCCTGCTGGAGACCAAGCATGAGACAATTCAACAGGCGTAAGTCACTTATTAATATGGAGGGAAGCTTTTAATAATTATATCTTTGAATACTCTAGAATCTGCGCGACTGAGTACTTCAGCTTGTTGCTGGACTTCTTCAAGCAGTACTGCTGGAACAATTTCCTGCACACAGAGATGGAAAAGGCCTTGCATGTGGTCTTTTACAACGAGCTGTCCAACAACAACACCGCATCCACGGAGGTTACGGACTTCTTCACTGCCGACTGCCTAATTAATGCCTTTTTGAAGGTGGGCACGGAGGAGTCCGAAGTCGAGATGAAGAACGCTCTAAACGATGCTAAGCGAGCGGAAGGTGTCAGGGATGAGGAAGGCGGCGACATCGAAATCGAAGTGGCAGCAGCGCAGGAAGTGGCTGCCCAGACCCACGATGATCGACTGTCAACTGCAGAAGAAAACCAAGAACATGAAGTACACAAGGGTCAAGTGGAAACCGCAGATGAAGCAACAGCTTCTGAGGAAGCAGAACCCAAAGTTCAGGGTAATTGTGAAGTGGATGGTGAATCTCCAGCTGATCAGCAGGATTCGGAGCCAACGCTCAATGATCTCGACAAGACCAAGACCGTTCCCAGTGCCCCGCCCTCTGAAATGCAAACACATGTAAGTCTTAGTTGACTCTTGCCCCGAACTAAACTTAATTCGGATTGATTTGCAGTTAATTGTAAACTGTCATCTGGTATCCAAACTGGTCGACTTGTGGCAGCACAATGCGCAGGCGCAGTAAGTACTTAAATTGATTATTTATCAATCTGTCATATACCATATGTAATCCCATTTAGATCTGCTGAGAAAGGTCGACGTCTGGGCTATATGGGCCACCTCATTAAAATTCTGCGTCACATTACGAATTGTATATCAGAATCTGAACATATCGGTGATCTGATCACCACCAGCTTAAGTGACGAAGCCGAGCTTAAGCTGTGGCAATCGTTGATCGATGCGGAAATTGGCGAGTTTTCGCTGGCGGTTAAACAGCAGACCAAGCTCCTGGCCGACTGCAATCCGCACGAGGATAATGAGTATAATGTAGGCTCCAAGGACTATATGAGCGAGACAAATGCTTGGGATATTGGAACAGTTTCGTACAGCAACGTGGGATATAGTGATCTAGATAACACGTTGCAAGACGTCGTATTTACCATGGGCAATGATCAGAATCTGTTCCAGTTTGGTCAAAACATTGATGATGAAGATGATGACGATGATGAGCATGGTGACCATTCGGGCGGTGGTGATGGCCATGGGCACGGCATGTTCACCAAAAATTCGATGACGCTTAGCAACTTAACTGATCCCTGGGACGTGTTTTCCGACATTCCCAGCGTTTCTGCGCAGGTCAACACGGGCACTGCCAACTGGATCACGGATTTCAATGCGGATAACTTTGCCGACTTCAATGCACACTTTAGCACCTTCGGCAGTGATCTGGGTATGCCCATAACTGCACCGCCAGGTGAAGAAGAGGAGGAGGACTCTTCCCCAGCGCCGGTATCTGCTACAGAGGTGATCCAAGGGGAGGAACGCCAACCCGCTGAATCTATTGGACTCGCTGTGGTTAAGGGCGCCCAGGATAATTTAGCGCGTACGGACGATCAGCAGGCTGAGTACGACAATAATGCCAACGTGGAGAAGGCCATCAGCGATAAGCTGGCAGAGTCGAGCGTGGTAGAGACTGCAGCAATTGTAACTCGACTGCAATCCGTACTGCTGGACGGCGAGGATGACTATGAGGACGATGAGGGAATGTGGACCAAGCCACTGGGTGCGGATCGTCCTGCGGAGACCGAGCAAATAACTCCCATTTCAAATGGACCAGTCAGCAAAATTAATGAATTGTAAGTTTATACGAAATACGAAATGAAATTGTAACACTTTGTTTATACGTTTGATCAATTTATCAAATCAAAACAAGGTTGCACATATATAGTGTATTGGTTTGTAGCTCTATGGAACTCTTGAACTACTTTTTCAGTGTTTTTTTTTTGTACCGTTTAGACTTGCCGTGCACTTGTAATTAAAACCATTGCCTTACCTTTCAGCAATCATGCTAACGATAACAGCAGCAACAACGTGGATGGCCACGAAGCCAACATCACAGCGGAGCAGCAGAAATTGGCCGCTGCCGCCAAAACGAACAATGTAGAAATTGCAACTACGACCACATAAATGCACTTCCTCACACCACACATCATTCAACCGCTTTTGTGTCGACGTGAAATTGTAAAAATGCCTTTGATTTGCTCTTTGGTCATTATCATGCATACATATTTATATAAATATATACCACATACTACTACTATACGTACATATATAGCAGGCTGCATAGTACAACAAAAGATTTGTGTATTAGCAAAAGGTCCAAGCCCGCCCAAAACCAAAATGCAAATTAACAAAAAAAAAAAAAAAAGCTAAAAAAATATTCACAGTAAAAAGTGTATTGTTGATTCCTTCTGCTCCTCGCTCGTATTGCCAATTATTTTAATTATTACACTTCCCTCATGTTTCCTAATTAAGAGAACTGTATTTTGTTTGTATTATGTATTAGTCTGTCGTTTTAGTATGCTTTTACTTTCAATACTCTCAATGTGTTAGGCAACCTATGAGCATTACTTAAAGTACCAAAATTCACGCAACGTCTAGAATGCTTAGTTTATATTTGTATTGTATTCGTTTTAGCTCGATCAGATGAGGATTATCTATCTATTCACGTGATGTATATACGTACATACATATATATATACACACTTTTGGAGGCTGTCCGTAAATTACGTTATTATCATCCTCCTTTTGTGGGGAATCCCCTCCAATTAGTGGTGACGTAATATATGGACTACTCCGCACTTATACTTGTATTGTTAAATTGGAGACTTGTATTTATTGTATGTATTTTGAAATCAAAAGCAAAAGCAATGCCAAAATACCAACACGTTCAACACCACATACCCACATGCTGCAAGCACAAATATTCGCATTATGTATTAGAGAGGTATAATATTATATACTTCTGTCTTTTGCCATTATTACCTTGTTTGTATACAAATCGGTTTAACCAAAAAAATATTCTTTGTCAAAAGTACAAAACAATGAAAAAAAAACACAAAAGAAGAAGGATAATAAACATAACGAAAGGACAACACTCGGCATTTGTCACCACATGAATGACTTACACCTACGATCTATACACCCTACCTATGACTAAATACAAATACCAGACCAAACAAACCAAACGAAATGAGAAATTCAAAAGAAGACTTTCCAAGAAGACATTTTAAATTTAAATTTATATTTTTTGTGTATTGTGTTAATTGCTCTGTTCAAGTTATCGCTGAAAAATGTTTTGTGTTTTAAACGTGCCGAGAACCACGAACAAAACGCTGAAAAAATATTAAGGAGAAGTTTAACAGATATGCCATTATTTGCTTCCAAATAATTACGTTTTAATTATGATAAAAAATAAAACAGAAACTACTTTAAAAGTAAAATCGATGTTTGTTTTACACGAGACTTGCTCACCAAAAAAATAAACAAACAAAAAGTTAGACACTTAGAGTATGTATACTATAAGATTATAGAGAAAAGAGCGGGGCAGCATATCAGGCATAGATGTGTGGAAAATATTTAATAACTAAAACACCCCCCACACATCCTAGGCAAATGGAAAATAATCCTTGTTTGCTGATTAATATAAAATGCTTAGTTATAGAACACAAGTTTGCACAAATTTCAACTCGCTTGCTTTTTACTTGCATACTGTAGCAACACAAAATGTGAACAAACAACCAAGAAAATGAAACAACAGAAATAAGAATTAAAAAAATATTGAAACATTTAAACTATCTCTGATGAAAAACTGTGATAATTAAATGAAGTTGCAGGGTATTTGATAAAGCAAACTTAATTTAAACAAATTATGAAACATCAACTAATGGCCACCACCATTTGGAAAATACAAAACACAGCCAACACGAGACACCCTGAACAAGTTAATTATACGATTCTTTAGCATCACAATCAGCAGGACACCTCGACAACCAAACAGCAATAACTACTGCAATGAAATCTAATTGAAGGAGTTTTAACGTGTAGTCTGTAACAGTGCGAAAGTATCTATAAGTTCGAGCTAGTGGGGATGGTCAAGGATCGCAGCTCTTAGTTCTCCGGCTTCTCACAAACTAAGCACTAAACTAAAGTTAAACTTAACTTAAATACTCATATCAAGCAGCCAATTGTAAACCTTGTACTGTACATACAATTGTCCCCAGTATTGTCTTCCCCCTAGTAATGCGTTTTCGTTTCTACCAACTTAATATCCGGAAAATCCAACGATAAGCGACGATGATCGAGTCCTTCCCTTGTGCATATGCCTTATTGAAAACTATATAAAAAAACAACACTGAAAACAAAGCAAAAAAAAAAAAAGCGATAAAAATCACGACCCTTGAAAACCGTTTAGAGAGTGGTAGTATCCGTAATCGTAGCGTTAGTTTCACCTACATACTGTGTGTCTTTTAAATGTTAAGCAGCTGCAGCAAGCTTAATATATATAATATATAAAAATACGAATAAAAATAAAACGAGAAACATAATTATAATACCTAAAAAATGATGTAGACAAAGTCTTGTGGGCAGCTTTAATAATTTTGTTTGTCTAATTATTAAAACTTGAATAAGAATACCAAACGTCCAAAGTTTTTTGCAAACAAGAACTAAGAACAATTGTGAACAAGAAAGTCTTCAGAAATGTTTTGATCGCCTCGATGCGATACAGAAACAGAATTATACACACATAAGTGCATGCATGCCTATATACAGAGATACATTTAATTAATTGATTCATTGATGATTTAATTGATTGATTAATGATCCGCATCTCGATGAAATGGAGTTCTTGAATATTTTGTGAAGTGCATTAGGTGTTAAGTGAGGTTGTAATTTGCTGATCGTGGCGCAATTAATTGAAACAAAACTAAAACTAATGCGTAATCAATGGTGGAGATGAAAATGCTATTTTTAAGGATCGTAACGTACATAATTTTGTCGGTGTGTGTTCAGCAATTCAGTATTTCAATTAAGCCAATTCAATGAATAACCCCAAATAATGCTACAATGGTTTCCAACTGCAAACCACAACAAACGGATATAGAAAGGAATAATTCCATATAATCAATCGAAGGTCTAATTCTCTAACTCTTTAATAAAGAACCAGCGGGAACAACAACGAGGAAGAAGCAACTGTAATACAACAAAAAATAAGAAAATACCAACTTCAACTTCGTACAGTAAATACATATATATTTGAAAATAGAAAAACATTAAAACTACAAAAAAAAAAAAAAATCAAATTGTTAACATAATGGATATTTTGTTAAATGCGAATCTTTGAACGAATTACTAACCACATTAGCAAATAGTTAATGAAAACCGAACCCAAGTGTGCTTCATGTATGAATTTATGTTAGATATTTACAACAATACGCGTATACATATTCCTAACTAAATCAAGCGAAAGAGAAGCCACATACAGAATTTGCATATTACTCTTAACGATTAACAACTATTGGTGTCTATGCATATACACATAATGATTAACGAACTATACTATATATTACCTTATACATGTAAGCCGAGTACAGACTTTTGAGAACTGCGAAACGTATCGTGAAATATCCGAAACAGACATATTTGTCATACTTGCTATAGAGCATATATATAAAATACGTTAAGTGCTCAAGGTGATAGCTGCACACTAGGGTGGACCGTAGATCTATTTATAATTTAAGGCTTGCACTCTCAGTATGATATGGTTTCAATGTGCATCACTCATACGCCGTGTTACAACCGCGCACTTTAATGGGGTATGAGTAATTTTGGCGAAAGCTCACCTAATTTTCATACCCTTAAAAATAGATAAATTTGTATTAGTAAAGTTCCAACCTTTCTAATTTGAACACCATTAGCCAAATATAAATCTGAATAATAATGATTTTTTGTGACATACGATTATATATTTACACATTTTCTATGATATTGACTACTACTTACTACACATTTACATTTATTTAAAGAAAAACCATTGAAGTGAGCTTTAAAATAACGAAATGGTGACTTTTTGTACTTGTAAAACTTAGTTTTGTCCAAATACATTGCTAATAATAAAGCTTTTATGGCAATATGCATTGATGGTTCGTTTTGCACCAACGGGTCCACCCTACTGCACACCCACAAATGAATACACGTACAGAAAGACACCCACACACATACTCGCCGTTTAGCTTGCCACATTGTTTTGGTCGAAACTCCGAGGTAATACTTTAAAGCGAATCACTAACCCCAAAGGGACGCTCGGGAATCGCGATTTCTTGAGTAAGTGCCTTAAACTGACAGAGAGATTGTAATGGAGAGTAGGAGGGTTTTGAGGACTACGCAATCAGATCGAAAGTAAATCGATTGTTTTCGGTACATTTGTTTAAGGGAGAAGGAGAGATAGACCTTTGTTTAAAACTCAACTAAGCGTTAGCCCCCCGGCAACCAACTAAATGTAGTTCCAGAAGTCAAGCAAACAGAATAGTTAACTCTATGCTCCGATCTATATTACTATACCGTCGCATTTCTACGCAGGCATATTGAAGTAATTGTATAATTAATTGTGAATTCAAATCATGTAATTGTGAGTGTTTTTGGCCCGTCAACGTTTTGCTCAACGCACACACACATACACATACACTGAGAGGAAAAAATAGAGACATGAAATACTCATGAAACACTTGTACACCCGCTTTGCCCAAGTTGAAGACAATTTGTGATTGTTTTGCATGTACCCTAAAGTTAAGCGAGTTTACACGAATATGGATTAAGCCGCAGAAAGCGGAAACGGAAACGTAAACTGTACGAGTAATAGCATTAATTGTCTAACAATAAGATTTGTGCATTATACGATAGAAATTCACTTTGAATTCGTATTGAAATTTATCAATAAAGCGATACTATTTGATTCTTACTGCGCTCGTCTAATTTATATTTTTCCTTGGATCATGGTAATAAATATTGTCAATATATAAGCATAAGTTAAAATATAATTTGTTTATTATTTTGAAAACTTTGAAAACTTATTTTTAAATATTGCCGTTTAAAATATAAGCTATCGTTTTTCCAGCCTAATGCAAAAGCCTTTACAAAACTGGTTCGGTTTTTCTAAGAGTGTCTACACTTTATTCCATTTGTACATTAGTTTATTGAAATTCTTGTTTTTATTTCATTTTAAATCCTAAAATTTTATTTCTATATCACAGCTGTTCCCCAAAAAGCGTGCTACGATAATTTCGCCCAGTAGCTAGCTGGATTTTGAAGTAGATGTGGTCACCGTTGCGGTCATTGTGGTTGTACTGGAGGTGCTGGTGGAACTGGATCGGGACTCGGAATGGGAGTGATGTCCACCATGGCGAGTCTCCATGTGTCGCTGCAGATCCCTGCGCCGTGGAAAGGATTTACGGCACACGTGGCACTGGTAATCCGCCTCCGTTTCCCCTTCGATGTCCACATCGCTGCCGGCACCACCTGCTGCGCCATCGGCTCCTCCCGCGGTACTACTCGGATGCGACTGGAGATGCAGCCTGACATGCTTGTTGAGATTGCTCGGATCGCCAAATGGTCGCAGGCAGAATTTGCACTTGAGCGGCTTAAATCCGGTGTGGGTGCGTATGTGAATCTTGAGGCCATATTTCCGGGAGTACACCTTGCCGCAGTAGATGCACAGATGACCCTGCTTGGAGGCACCCATATTGCTGACTATGGCCTCGATCTGGGCAGCTGCATTCATTGGATTCGTCGACAATGGTGCCGTCGCCATCGAAATGGAGGGCAGGTAGGATAGAGGTGTAGCTGCTGTGGTTACTTGTGCCATGGGCAAACTCTGGCTAAGTGCTGCAATGGGACGGAAGGCGGAGAACCGAGGTGGCATCTGCGGCGGTGGCGAATGGGTGGGCGAGGCCGATGACGTAGACGAGGTCCCCGGTATGGGTGAATGCTGGGCTTCTGTGCGACTCCTTGTCGCTGCCTTCAGCGCGTAGTGCAGTCGCATCCACAGGATGTCCATGGCACTGCGGCCACAACCCAGAGCCAAATGGATCTTAAGGGGGTGGGGAGTCTCAAAGGTCAAGTGGCATAGGTGACACATGTAGCGACTGTTTCCTGCAATTAGCAGATATAAATAATGTGATTAATTATGATCATAAATATATATTTGAATTATTTAGTATAGCATCAAAATAAATTATAGTGATAATTACCTTGGATATTTAGGGGCGTCAGGAAGGGAATGCCCATGAGGAGGACCAGCTCCTCGCCGAACCAGGCCACGATCTCATCCTCTCGGGCAACATCCCTGACCAAGCGGACGCGCACCTGGCCACCATGCAGCTCGAAGATGGCATTGAAGCTATACACATCCTCGGAGAGTTTGATCTGTCGCAACAGTGAGGCGGATACGATCAGTTCGCCATTGGACAGCTGGCAGTGGGAGCGTCCGCCGTCCGTGGGCATCACCGTAGATCCCAGAAGAGCAGACGTGGGAATGGCAATGGAGCAGGTATCCTTGGGCGTGTATTGCGAAGTGTAAACACCTGGTCGAGGATTGCTCCTCATCCGCTTCGCAGGACTTGCGGTGCTCGTGGTGGCCGTCAGTGTGGTCTCCGTCGATGAGGTGGTCATGGTGCTCGGTGTGATGCTTGTGCTGGGCAGGAGTTGCTCAATCCGGAAGATCAGGCTGGCCGAGCGCTTCTGCTCCAGACTATCCAATTGAGCTGTCGTGTGCATCGCTCGCGTTCGAATTCGATTCTGCGTTCCAATTGGAAGGCAACTGGCGTTTTTATACCACGCCGCATCCGCATCCGAATCCGCATCCTGCTCCCTTATTTTTCGGATTTGGATTTGCCACGGCCTTGCAGTGTCACAATGGCACGGCTGGCGGCAAGTGCAAGAATTCCCAGCCCAGAATCCCAGTCCGGCACCGGCTATAGCCTCGACATAGCTACGCACTTTGCCGGCTCAACCCCCTGGCTCATTTGGCATCCCTTTTCGAGGTCCTGGTGCGTCCTGGTGGTTGCTCGGCAAGTGCAACATCATGTCCTCGCAATCACCAGAGCACTAAGCCAAGCTAAGCGGCCTGTAGCAAGTGTGCGTATTCCTGTGCCCGAAAATCCCCCTCCCACCTCCTCGTCACCGCCGCCGACGAGTCCTTTCTTTTTTTGGCTTTTGGGCTACGCACAAGGAAAATGTTTTTAATTGAAATTAAACGATCGTTTGTTGTTACTTCCCCCGTTGTTGTTGTTGTTGTTGTTGCTGTAATGCCACCATATACAAATCGCATTCGCCATCGTCAATGTCAATCTGCCCATGGTCCCTCCCTCCTCCAGGACGACGACCACCCCACCCCGCATCCTTCCACTATAATGCTAATGCCATAATATATTGGCGTGTATCGTTTCACTATTTGCGGTTTGGGGTGGGTCGTGATTTCTGGGCAGGACGGCTGCTTCTTCGGCCGGTGGTGCGGATTTCGCGAGTGTAGGGGAGCCAGTGGTGTTAATTGATAGTACGAAGCAATAAATATATAAAAATGGGAAATATTCAGTAATTTTTGAAATAAATTAAAAAGTTTTAAAATAAATGTAAATAAAAGTCAATTAAAGAATGATTGGAATAAGTTTTGTATGAAAGAAAATATATACATGTTGTGAGCCAACCTTTAATTTATTATTTCATAACATTTAATTTACTATTAAATAAGGTATTATACACATCTAAAGATTTACATTATTTTTAGACTCCAATATATTAATATTAATATATACTATATATTTTTTGAATTATTAAAGGTGTTCTTCTGTAGATTTTTTTAGCGCCCCATTTTCGTAGTTGCGTAACCCTCAGTTAGTTCAGCTCCGCTCCTGTCGGCTGACAAATATGCTACGAGGCTAATGTTTTCATTATTGCGACATAATTCCCCTCGTCGAGCGATCAACAGGATAAAGTTGGGCGAGCAATTCGCAAGACGGGGAGAAAAACATGTGTTGCCAGTCACACAGCCGCCGCTCCTGCTCGAGGGTTGGATGGGTATTGGTGGTCAAAAAGGACACGCCATCCCAGTTAGATGCAAGGTGTACCAGGCCAGGACCAATTCCGGCTTGGTGTTTGCTAGTCCTCCGTAAGTAGGCGGCCAAGGGGTTTTCATTTAAAGCATTTTAATTGGCAATTACAAGGGTTTTACAAGGGAACTGTTCACTTTTCAACTGGATTGCAGTAAGAATTGAGATAAAATAGTTTTATTATTTATCAGTTAATATATTAGTGTAAAAATGTGATCCATCACCGTCGATCAAAAATTATAATTATTGAGATCAAGTGCCTTAGAAAAATGTTATAAATTTAAAATATTTCACTTTCGTCGGTAGACATAGCCACCTCCACCGCCATCATCATTGCCTCCCGTTTCGTTGTCATCGCATCCATGGCATCCACCTCCGGCGGCCAGCATGTCCAACGCTTCCTGAATCTCGATGGGAATGGGCGGCGGAGTGGGCAGGTGATCGCCCTGCGGCTGGAATCCGTATTCGTCCGCAATGTAGGTCAGTGAGATTTCCTGGCCATCGGGACTGGTGTAGGAAAAGGAACCCTCCGCCGTCTGTGCCTCCGCTCCTTTCACTCCGGCGTTCTTCAGGTAGCCCATCTCTTCGGCCTTTATTCCGTTTCCGGTCTCGTACTCGTACTAAAATGTGGTTTATTTAGATTGTAATAAAATAATTAATTGATAGCTCACTTACCTTATACGAACCATCAGTGTTGACCTTGGACTCCAACTTGATGATGGGTATATCCTCACCACCGCCACCGCCTCCTGCTCCTCCATTGCCATTGTCTGGTGGCAAGTAGGCATTACTGGGCGGGGATTTTCCATTGCCGCTTTTGGGTGGTGGCCCATAGCTGGGCTTTGGTGGAGCAGGTGGTGGCTTTCCATTTCCCTTCTTGGGAGGACCGTAGCTGTTGGCCGGCGGCGGCGGAGGACGAGGCGGTGGAGCTGGTGGCTTGGCTGGCAGATAAGTGGCCGGAGGAGGACGGGCATTTGGATAGCCCGCCGGTTGGGCGCGAACGTAGCCAATGGCGATGCAAATCAAAGGAAACAATGTGGTCAGCCTCATCTCGATTGCAAACGTAGACTGCTGGTCAACGGCACTCTGTGGTTTTATATGACCAGCCACAGGTGGTTCCTCGACCCCTTGACCCCAGTGGAGCAGTCACGTGCCACGGCTTCCGATGGAAACTGAAAGCACAATGAAAACGAAACGAGCCAAAGAACTGGGCCATGGCAAGTGCAAATGCAGAACTCCCCAGAGCCATCCGATTAGTTGGGAGACTGACAAAGCGCTAATAAATTGAGTGTGCAATCTCGATTTCCAAATCCCGCAGCCTTCATCCCCTTCGCCCCTTCAGCTAATCGCTAAAAACAACAAAACCCGCCCGACCACAAGCAAAAACTTTTAATTCAAAAGCAATTTTCAACAGGATCGGGCAACACCTGCATGCCCAACCCATTCCAGCTCAAAAATGGGAACCGAACCAACCCAACCCCGCAAGATCCCTTGTCTAATGCACTTTGCCTGTTGCCAAGGGGTGCTAAGTCCTGGATTCAGGACCTTCGAGCACAGCACCCCACTGGAACGGCAGGGAAGTCGGCTTTAGTCAATCGTCTATTAACTTTTTGAAAGCTAGCGCACAGTGGTGCTAGGTCCAGATAAAATGGGGATAATTATTGTAGTCGGGAAATGAAAATGAACTTAATTGTTGGATTTATAATATTACATAACGGGGACGAGCTTTTGTTTCATTTGTCTCAATATATTTTATATTTTTGAAGCAGAGTTGCAATCTTATATAAGTCTTGATAATACATATGATACAATGATAACAATAATTTAATATTAATAACTTTAATTCAAATTAATTTCAGTTTTGTTTTTATTTTTGTCTTCATAGGCCCACTGTGCTCCTTGTTGCGGCTGCTGATGTGTGTGTTTATCATTTGGTAGCTCAGCTTGTGCCTGTCGTGGATGCCGCTAATATAGAATCGAACCTTCCCTTCGATGGACCGACGAAAAGGCCGAGCTAATGGCAATGTCGTTTGCAGCTTGTCCTACTTGTAATGTGCTGGCGCACAGCTGACGCGCTCCCAGGACTCAGGACTCCGCATTCAGGACTTCTCGTCGGCGCGTGGAGTGCGGATTTTGTGAACCTGTTCCGGCCGTTCCAGCTGCGGGCTGTGGGATTGTGGGATTGTGCTCGGAACCAAGCAACCACCGGGGAGGACCAGGAATAGCCGGCTGCTGCACCGGCTGCATAAACCAACAATTGTCGGTCCCCGGTCCCCGGTCCATGGTCGTTGGTCCTTGGTGCTCGGCTTTTGGTTTCCAGTTAGCCACGCACCGATGGCACATATTCCACGCCCGCATTCGCGTTTATAAAGCGAATTTTGACTGAGCGGAACGATCTGATTGCGATTTTGCGTTGTTTTTGCGAGGGTTGGCCGATTAAGTTCCTCGTATCGCTTAAATAAACATTTTCAGATGAGGTCCATTGATAAATTGGCCACTGGCCCCCGATGACAGCCTTCATTTGAAGTGAGGGGCGGGAATCGATGCAACTGTCGTCGCCATTAAATGAGTTATATGGCGAATATTAAACAAATGTGGTTGGCAACTGATTAGTTTGAGCTGATTCATTCAATGGTTTCAAAATGAATCGCCAACAAATTGAATTTCTTAATTAATCGGAAGTTAAAGCAAATTTATTTCAAAGTGGTCATCATCATACAAACAACCATCTCTTCAGCAATTTATTTGTTTTGAAACCATTGGATAAGACTTTAATTAAACTTGAATTGAACAGGTTCGAGTCTCATCGCCTTATTGGGAGTTCTGTAACGATATACATATCTAATAGTACTTTTGTGAAATATATAAAAATATAATAAAAAATCAAGCAATTTGAAAACCAATTAAATATTAAATACAATAAAATTGAAATTTCTCCTTAAGAGTATTTAACAGTTGTATCTATATAAAAATCCATTCTTTTTGCGATTTTGTGGTTGTTAAGAACAAAAGTTGGGCCATAAACAATGACGTAACCCCATTCGGGCATTGCTGGCTGCGCAGATATTTGTTTTCATTATTCCGATCTCTTTGACTTATTTTGGCTGGTTGGCTCATCTCGCAAAATATCTTCAGTTGAATTCGGCCAACGGCACAGGCAAGAACGTAGAGTTCTGATCAAACTAAATTGTAATAAAATCCTGTTGCAGCAATGAAATTGGTAAGTGTATTTAAAAATGCACAAGCTTTGGCAATCAATTTTTCTAATATTTATACAGTTTTGTCAAATCTTTTTGACAACTGCGTTAGTCGCTTTGGTTTCATCGGCGCCTTTGGAGAAAGGTGAACGAGAGGAGGAGGTTCATTTCGGGTAAGTTCACCGAAGTTCATCCAGCACTCTTAATGTAAATGATTTTTCAAAAAAGGTTTCACACTGAAAATGGCCATCAGCGAAATGAGGCCATAACGTACACAGTAAAACCTGAAACGGTCCAGGATCCCAAGGAGGCGACTACCCAAAAACCTGTGGAATATAAAGGCGGATACAGTTTCATCTCGGCCGATGGTTACGAGTACCAGGTCCTCTATAAGGCCAACAAAAACGGTTTTCAGCCCTATGTGACAGCCCACAAAATTAAACCGGATAAGAGTTAAGCAAATTTGTTTATTGGCATTGTGATAGAAAATTAAAATTCCGCATAATTTATCAGTGTATTAAGCGTGGCTGAAAAGCTTTCTCTTCAGTGGTGGCAGACTTGGCTAGAAAAAGCTTAGATGTCTTCGGGCCAGCTCGTTAATCTTGAATCATTTCGAGATCGACTGATTGCAACATCAGCATACTAATGGATTATCATTTCTCTACAACTGGCATGGGTTGCTTTGACTATATGAATTACAAGTTTTTATATCAATTGTGTAAGAGCCGTATTGCTTTGTAATTGTCCTAGGAACAAACTATTGAAAAATAACTGCATTGTTAATTTATTAACAATTATATTTTAGCCATAAAGGTAGTTTGATTAGCTTAGCCTCCTCTTCAGTCAACAAAAATTTCTAGGATAGGGTATACATTAGTCTCAACTGAGCCCATTCAGACTTTCTTTCGTGAGTTAAGACAATTAGTTTTCCAATTTGGTGCCGCTTTGAATGTAATGCACATATTTGAGAGTAGCCACCAAATTGTGGTTCGACCCATGGAACTCTTTTGCTTTCGTTATGCAAATCTCAGTTCAGTCCGAAGGCATTGGGCAACCCGCCTCTACATCAAAAAGCTTACTCAGCAGTTTTGGACCAAAAAGTCATATAGGTCTTTTAGGACAGGGGCCTCTATGAAAACGCTTCATAAAGCCGCCAGCCGCCTTGGTTGCAAGTTGTGTTTTCCAGACTCGAATTTCTCCACAAGCCAGCAACTATCTATCCACAATGGGTCTTTCTACGGTGGCAAGCACCATTCAGCCCGGCAAGAAGGAAGTTCGCAATAGGCTGAGCATCAACAATAAACTAGTTCAGGCCCTGATCCTTCTGGTGGCCTGTGTCCTCTTTGGAGCCAAGCTGAACTACGCCGTCTTTCCACCGGGCACTGTTCTCGATATCAAGTTGGGTGAAGTCGCCCTCGAGCAGTTTGCCTATACGCCAACCCGCGATGGATACGAGTTCAAGTAAGTTTTGGCCAACATTATATCAAATATTGTTTTATAGTTTATTTGAATTGCAAATAAAAAATGGAACTTTCCTAAAAAAGTTTTCGCAGATAGGTATTTACTTTGAATGTTTTGTTAATAACTTACTTTTGTTATACACACTGCGAACTTTCACGTACCCTCTTCCACGTTCAGCTACACTCTTCCTGATGGAACTTTTCGTGATGAGATTGGCAAGGTCCTTAGCGGAACTTCGGCAGCTCAGGATCTGGAAAATGCCAACAACTTGGCCAAGAACCACCGTCCCTCGCGTGAACAGGGCCTAAAGATTCGCAAGTTGTCCGGAAAATCTCTTTCATCTCTGGCCGGATAGACACCTCAGCAAACATTCCTATTTAGAATCCAGCATGCATTGATAAAAAAAAAAGTTTGCTAACCGTTTTAGGCTAGCTTTTAAAAAGAGATTTTACATTTCCGAGCAATAAAAACCATCGATCAAAAATAGCCGACCCTCTGAAAACTTGTTTGTTGTGCAAGGAAATTTGCGTTGACGAGCAAGTTGCATAAAGTCATGGGGAATTAGTAAATTATGGAGATGCTTTATATCTTGAATAACCCTGCGCAAAATTAACAACTCTAGTAAAATTGGGTTGAGAACACTTAGTCAATATACATATGATTTTTGCAATGTTATTTCAATGTTATTTATATCACTTTTTATTTTGGCATAAACATGTGTCAACAAATTAAGATGCAAGGTTGGGTTTTAGCGATATCAAAGTGCACATATTTCATTTATATTTTCTGTAATATTGTGCTGGTAAGTATATTAAGATTTTAATTCATACAAAATTTGTTTTTTTTTTATATTGTAGTTTATTAAGATATACAGGATAGCTATGAACCCTTTTATTACCTTATTTTCTATTGTTTCTGCCAATTGGCGCTCCGGCTATAGGGAATATTTAATATAGCTTTTTCTATTTTGGTCTAATACTCTCATGTTGTTTTATAATTAATATTTAGCTATTAAGCTATTGTTATCTTAGCACTAAGTCTCTTGGTTGACGTCTTTTGATCCTCTGCCTCGGTCGAGTAATGGTGAGATCATTAGCGAGACGATTCCTGTGGTTCATCAGTCTTGAGTTGTACCGACTGGAGTGGAAGTTGATTTGTTGTAGTACCGTAACTAGTTTTAGGTCCCTATGTAGCACGCTATTTCGAATGTACCACTCACAGCCTGTAATTAGTCTCGCTATTTTGTTCTGGGCCACCTGAATATTTTTGATTTGGCTATCTCTTGCTATCCCCCAGATTTGGCAACCATATTGCCAGATGGGAGCAATGACCTGCTTGTATAGGGTGAGCTTATTTCGGGTGGAGAGTTTACTGTTGCTTCTTAGGAGCCACCAGTGCTTTGTCACAGCTGCTCTCACCCTTGTTTTGATGGCTGCTATGTGGGGAGCAAATGTGAGCCGGCGGTCTAATGTTATGCCAAGATATTTGGCCGTACTACACTGCTGTACCATCTCCTCACCTAGTTGAACAGCAGGTGGTGTTTTCCTCCTTAGTGAGAAGCACACGTTAGCTGACTTTTGACCATTTATGCCAATATTCCATCTTCTTGCCCATTGCTCGTACCTGTCAGCGTACTCTTGTAGGCCGTCTGCTGCTTCATATTCGCAGGATGATCTGTAAGTAACACAGACGTCATCGGCGAAAGTGGCTAGAGTCATCCTGTCAGGGTTGGCGTCCATACTAGCATTTGGCTGCGGCATATCGTTGGTATACAGACAGTACAATAATGGACCCAGTACACTTCCTTGAGGCACTCCTGCACTGACCTCATGTATCCCTGAGGTTGCGGAGTGGAAACGTACTGCGAACTGCCTATTCGCCAAGTAGGACCGCATTAGCAAGTAATACGGTGCTGGTAGTGTCATTTTTATTTTGGCCAATAGGCCAATATGCCAGACTCGGTCGAATGCTTCCTTAATGTCCAAAAAGAGCGCATTGCAGTATTCTTTCTCATCGTAGGCTTGCAATATTTGGTCAACGATGCGGTGCAGTTGTTCTATTGAGCTGTGACCTGCACGAAATCCAAATTGGTGATCAGGGATGGCTCTTCTGGATGACATTATCCCAGCAATTCGGGCAGAGATAAGTCTTTCAAAGATCTTCGAGATTGATGGGAGGAGACTGATTGGCCGGTAGGATGCTGGGTCACTCTCTGGCTTTCCGGGCTTGTGGATCATACTCACTAAGCCAAATTTCCACTGGGCAGGGAAGTAATGCAACCTCAACATAGCGTTGAAGATCAACGTTATGTAAGAGATCGCGTGAGTAGGCAGCGCCTTCAGAGTAGCGTTGCAGATGATGTCGTGGCCTGGTGCTCTTTTAGAGGATTGGCGGTTTATGATCGCTGATATCTCACATTGGTCGAACGGGAGAATCGGTGCATCCATTTGCAGCGCTTGCTCAAGGACTTCCTGCGTTTCTTGTTTTTCCTGTTGGCTGGCAAGGTTAAAGGGCTTGAACCGTTCAGCTAAGTCAAAATTTGTTAAAATGTTTTACAATTAATGATCCATGTAGAAACATTTTTCCCAAAAGTATGTGAGCGTTAAACAAATTTTCACTTTAGTTTGTTTGATGCCGAAAAGTTTGTACACTTTTTGCATTTAAAGCCATATTTAAGATTTAATTTTATATTTCGGTTGCTGCTTAAAAAATGTGCAAAAAACTTTTGTTTTTATATTTCAGCAAATCATTTTTAACAAAACTTGTTCTTTATTTGAGATGTTTATATTTATTTAATAAAATGTTGCCTAAGAGTATGTGATGATTTTAAACTATTTCAAAAAGCAGGTTTGTTGCCTAAGTCATTTGATTTGTTGCCTCAAAATCTAGAGTAATTTAGTACTACAACATTGAAGACTTTTAAAATTTGTATATAGGAGTCAAATCTTTTTACGAATTTTTATTGTTTTCCGCTGATCGTAAATAAATTTATTTTTTATTTAATAGCAATTATTCTGGTCTTTCAAAATATTTTTAGCTGAGGCAACAAAAAGTATCTTTAATGGTTATTCTAGGCAATAAATCTTTGCATCAGCATCTTTTTTCGGTGTTTCAAGATGCGTTGCATTTGGGCCATAAAACAAAAACAAACAAAAAAAAAAAGTCGAAGTCGGCGATAAAAAAAATTGTACGCACGATGCTGAATGTCAGGTGTCAGCAGAAGTATTTTTAAAACAGTTTCTGTCTTGTGAGTTTTCAGCTAAATGCAAATATTACGAAAAAAGCTATTAAAGTGATTAAATGAAATAGAAAAAAAACGGCAATGTGACATTTACATATTAAAAAACAGATGGCCAGCAGGGAAGTTTCGGAAGGAGAGCTCCGCTATTAAAACATTGCCATTAACGCTCAAGTGCTAATTTTGCAGACCCAGTTGATGCGACAGCCAAAAAACAACAAATAAACCGAAACCGAAACCGAAACCGAGTTCGATTCCTACATAGCCGAGTTCCAAAGACCGGGTTCAAGCCGGTCTGACCAACTTTTGAGTGAGGTGCGTGCGAGTTGGCAACGAACAAAAGCCGGGCCAAAACGGCAGCTGATTGGGAGGCGGACAGATGGTCAGACGGATGGACGGACGGACTTCGGCAGCAGCAGCAGCAGCATCTGGCGCTGACCTTGAAGACGTAAATGTGAAGACGCATCTACATAAATATCTATTGTATCTCCGGCTCTTTTTGTCTGGCATCGGGCATCTCGTATTTGTGTATTGAAAGCGACAGTCCGAACAAGAAGGTATATCAAAGCTGAAAAACCTGTCGTTTGCTATTTGATTAGAACAGATATGTAAATCATGGTCTGTAGGGAAGAATTCTGCCCCAAACTTGTCGAATTTCCATCACCGATGGACAACGCCCCCGCGCACAGAAGCACTCAATCCGATTAGCACTCGGAGCCATTGATCACAGCCAGATTAATTATGCAAATCCAGCATGATAAATGCAGCTCGCTTCATATGCCCTCGAAAAGCTGCGGAAAAGACCCAAATAATAAATATTAAGCAGCTGCGATTCATATCCATTTTCAAGGGCCCCGAATGCCCTCAAGATCCATTTGTAGGCGGACAGGCTAAATTAATTAAATTGACCTTTAATGAACTTACTTGGTATTAAATTAAGCTGCGTTAAGTAAATTGTTTCTTGTGACATTTTGCTTGTAGAGACTAAAAATAAGCAGAAACTCGTCTTTTTTCTCTTATATGCTCGTTAAATATACATATTTACATCTTTCCCATTTAAAGTCTAACTACACAATTATAGTTTGACGGTTTTAATCAAGAAGTAATTTTCACACTGTAGTAATATTATGCAATTTTGCTGAATAAACAATGACAACAGACATTTTTTGAATCTGGTTTTGTCTTTGATTGTAAGTGTGCTTTGCTAATTTAATGCGTTTTATACATGTTATATGGATACTATTATTTGATTGAAATCACTAATTCAATGATTTTTAACGAGCAAGTCAAGAATCTAAAATGCCAAATTGCAGCTGCCAAAAAATCAACCAATATGATGTGATCTTCAACGACATTTGAGGAAATGCCAGTATCAGTGTAAAACACCCTGTCGATGGGTCAGACATTAAGTTGTTGGCACAATTCAATGCAAGTGGAGAAGGAGACTGCGGCAGAACCGTGGTTGACCAGAGGCCGACCGATGACCAAAGTTGAAACCCGACTGACCGGCTTAAAAGATCCGCTGCTGGGGCTTCTTCATCGGCCTGGTAGCGGTCAACGAAGGTGGCATAAATTGGTAAGCACCAACGGCGACTTAAAAACAAAAAGGAAAAAAAAAACTTAAAGCAAAACAAAAAAGCTAAAGTCAGAGATTTAAATTGCATGCGAGCCGTAGTTGTAGGTTATTCGATGTATTTTGTATATATTTCCAACTGCTTTTGGCTCTTGTTACCGGGCAGGCACATCAATCGAGCGCTGTAAAGGCCGTTGCATATGCCAAAAGTCAACCTGCGGTTCCATCTCCATCCAAAGTCTCATCCATCGTGCACTTTGGCCATCACACATGGCTCAGCTCGTGTTCTTCGTGTCCGCAGCTTGAACTTGCTGCCCTGCCAATTGGCGGCGACAGCACTTGAACTTAGTTACTTCTGGCTACCAAGACGTCGTCGATTTCGGTTCGATCTGGGTGCCAAGCTGTTCTGGTTATTGTTTCCCATAGTTCTGGGCCCGGTATTTCCCCGTAGCTGCCCAATCAGCCTGCAACCTTTTCCCCAATGCATCTGCTTGATTCATGAACTTTTTCGAGTTTTCTAAAGCTACCAGTTAGCACTGAAAGAAAAAAGGTGTCGTCGTACTACTTATTTGGTTTCAGAAATCACAATCTGTTTGCTTAAATGCGATATTATATTCTAGTTGAATTTTTTTGTGGATTAATATACTTACAGAGTTGCACTAAAACTAGGAATGATTTTGAGTTTGGACGAAGAGCAATAGTACCAATAATAGCAGCAAAGCCATCGGTTGAATAAGTGTTATGGGTTTGAATAAATATGTTTTTTTTAACTGGAACCCTTTTGATATCCTTATTGGTATGTTCTGTTTCTCGTAAAAAAAAGTGAAGAAAAATTTGTTGTGGATTAATATTCTTACAGAGTCGGCCTGAAACTTTGAATGATTTTTCGAGTGTGGGTGAAGAGCAATAATACCTTTCGGATGAGTACATCGCTGCACAAAGCCGCTTTAAATGTTACTTGTCGCAGCGACTTTGGCGACTTTGGTGCAATGCTGGCAATTGAAAAACAGCACAAAAAAATAAAATGGAAATAGTGGAAAACATTTAGCCGGCGACCGCCAGAGCTGCTGAACTAGCGAGCTGCTAGTCTTCTTCCACAATTGTGCAAATTTATGACGTTTGCAAATGCAGCCGCGAGTGCAGTATAAAATGCAGTGGACGCCGATGCAGTACCACCATTAGACAACTGCCAGTTTGTCCAGCCACATAGGGGAATCCGCCATTCCGAGAACCGCTCAACATGATGAAATTGGTAGGTGAACTTGGATAAGCGAGGCACAACCATGCCCAACCAGGATACGCAAAAGGATACCTAATTTTTCGCCTTGCAGATGCTAGTCGTTAGCTCGATAGCCCTGCTCCTGGCGCTGGCCAGTGCCCGGCCCCAAAATGATGTGGAAGTTCTGGAGTACGAATCGGAGAACACTGGCCTCGGTGGCTACAAGTTCAGCTACAAATTAAGCGATGGCACCAGTCGCACCGAGGAGGGCGTGGTCAACAACGCGGGCACCGACAACGAATCTATATCCATCCGGGGATCTGTCACCTGGGTGGCTCCCGATGGCCAAACCTACACCATTAACTTTGTGGCCGACGAGAACGGTTTTCAGCCGGAGGGCGCCCATCTGCCAAAGTAGATCTAAGCTACTGAGCAGATCCTGTAAATACCACCATCCCTAAAGAACCCACAACCTAAAAAACTCCAACCAACCAGCCATACAGTGAGGTGCTAAGGTCCTGCCCGGAGGAGCTGTCCCTTGTCCCGTGGCAGCCAATCGGTCAGTCAGTTAGTAAGTCGATCAGTCAGTCAAGTTAGTGTCGTGCATTGTTTTCTGTTTTCCTTGTTACTCGCATTAAAACCGAACTTTCGATTCTCGAAAAAGAACAAAATGTTTTTCTTGTTGGACCATAAAAGTAATTCAAAGGTACATCTGGGAACAGTCTCATCTGGAGATTTTTTAAATCATTGCGTCTTTAGGTGGTCAGCTAGCATCTGTTACTTTAAAACATAACGTATTTCCAAAATAATATCAAAGTTCCTGAGATATTTTTTTGACTTTATGTCATTTGTAACAGCCCCAGCTATGAAAACGGAATTGACACTTCTCTTTCTATTGATTCAAAAATGAAATCAATTAGAGATTTTCTAACGAAGTAATTCGAAGTAACGAATTTGTTTTAAAAGTACTAGCTTTATTTAAATTGAGTTATAATTATTAATAACATTAATAATTATTAAAAGAGTATTCATTATTTTGGTTTCTGAACTTATTACAATTTAACGGCTTGTTTTTCACTTGAATTCTAGTTTTTTTTTACATAGACTCTACACACGGATTTAAATTTGGGGAATATCCTCTCCTTGGGGTTGGAATCCGTTCTCATCCGCCACGTAGTTGATGGCATGCGTCTGTCCGTCCTGATCAACAAAGCTATAGGATCCGGCCACCTGCAAGGCAACCTCCTCGGGACCAAGGTTCTTCAGTGATCCGTGCTGCTCCTGCCTGGTGCCATCGCTGGTCTCAAAGTTGTAGCTAAAGCTATCGACATTGACATCGGACTCCTGTCTAATAATCTCTGCCTCCGGAGGGGGAGCAGCTAGGCACAGGGCAATTGAAAGGCAGGCGAACACAAGGATGCACTTCATCTTCACTGGTGGTTCTTTAGTAGTTGTCGGAATTTACTCGATATTCGAAATGCGGGCTGCAGGAGTCTTTTATACGATTGCAGCATCGGTAGCCAAGACGATAGCTAATGCAATTAGCACTTAAAACACAGTGTCTAACATTATATTGTTGACTCGCTCTGAGAAGAGCATGTGTTAATTGAACATGTGTATTTATTCTTAAAAGCCAATACTTATAAAATATTTCCAGATCTTTTAGTATGCGGAACAGCGCTGATACAATTAAAATCGAAATATTTTTCCATACGCTCTTTAGGCAACTATAATTTTTAAATAATTTTGCATGTAAGCCAAGCTGTGTTGTCTTGACTATTTCTATAGTTTTCGCTTAAATTTCCATCTGCATATATATTAGCTGAAACGATATATTTCAAGATTTACGCTTAACTTAGCCGAAACTAGTTTTGTGTTGTTAAGCTAGTTGCCAAAAGAGCCCGACTATAAATGAACTGAGCATAGTGGCCATAACATCATAGTAATCTTTGAGTCTTCAACGATCTACAACGTCTTCAATATGAAATTCGCCATCGTCTTCGCCGCCCTCTTCGCCGTCGCCCTGGCCGCCCCCGCTCCCGATGCTCAAGCCCAGGTCCTCCGCCTGGAGTCCGACGTCCAGCCCGAGGGCTATAACTTTGCGTAAGTCTAACAAATTGCAGCCGGGGCAGTACCAGGATTATCCAAGGTTAAATACCCAATCCCCCACAGCTTGGAGACCAGTGATGGCAAGAAGCACGAGGAGCAGGGTGCGCTGAAGAACGCGGGCACCGAGCAGGAGGCCATCGTGGTGCGCGGCTCCTTCTCCTTTGTGGCCGATGATGGCCAGACCTACACCGTCAACTACATCGCCGACGAGAACGGATTCCAGCCCCAGGGTGCCCATCTGCCAGTGGCCCCGCTTGCTTAAGATGTTTCCCCAAATCAATCGAAGAGTTGTAAATAAATCATAATGTTCACTATATTTCAAGGTTTTTAGATTTTTCATAAATTTATATGGTTTTATTTGAATAAGAAAAGCTGTAAGCCTGGTCTCCACTTGCCTCGGTATTGTTGGGGCGGGCTTAAACGAATTGTGTATTGCAAAAGGCAAAGGTAAAATGTGGCAGTGAGAGAATTTGCCCAATTTGGTTGGACAATTTGCTTATGGCGATTGATTTGCATTTGTTCCGGTCAAACTAGAAACTAAAGCAGCGACACTAGCCGGATTTGATGGTGAAGCAGAAAGCCAATCTGAATTCAAACTATTGTCGCCTAACCAGCTGGGCCGGTGCATCCGCATACAAAAAAATTGTTAACTTATTACCTAAGGCCAAGATCATGTCGCTGATTTCCATTAAGTCATATTGAAAGCGTTTGCACACTTTAATTTAATCACAATTGGTTTCGAATTGGAGTAGGTCACTGTGAATATTATACATAAAATTGTTTCAATTGGTTTCTAAGAAAAATACTAAGGCTATTAAAATTTACCCACCATTCAAAATGTTCAGTATAAAATATATGCAAAAAAATATAACAAGTACATTGTATATATGTATATTTAAATAAAAATGTGCGCATATTTATAATAACAAAAATATTTCTGAATACATATTAATTTGTTTACATATAAATGTTCTTGTTGCTGTTTCAAACTCAAGCAAATAAATTAAATCAACATTTATCATGTATACTTATCATGGCGCAAGGTGATATAGTATATCCGAAGAAAAGTTTTGATCACTGGCATCCCAGGTATTAATTAGAACACATTTAGGGATTTTGCAGCTAAAAATCAGTTTATTTCAGTCATTTAAATAATTTAAGCAACTGGTGCCACGGGCAAATGGGCGCCCTGGGGCTGGAATCCGTTCTCATCGGCCACGTAGGTGACGGTGAACTTCTCGCCGGTCTTCTCGTCCACCCAGGAGTAGGATCCGTGAACGACAGCGGCTTCGTGTTCAGTGCCTTCATTCTTAAGAGAACCTTTCTGGTTGATGCTGGTGCCATCGCTGGTCTCCACGTCGGAGCTCCACTGTTGTGGTCCAACATCGGACTCACTCCTGACGATCACCACATCGTTGGGGCGGGCCAGGGCGATGGCGAAGAGGGCGACGAAAACGATGAGGAACTTCATGTTGGAGCTGGATAGAAAGTTGATGACTGTCTGATGCTCCACTGGAGCTGGGTGGGGGCTTATATACGCCAGAATTCGCGAAATGCAAAAGTCAAAGGTGGCAACGAATTAGGCGGATCGCAAATGAGTTCTGCTGATATTTATGTAGATCGGTTGTGAAAGTGAGCGCATCGTTATTTCAGCAATGTTTCCGGTCAAACTGGACCTGATTGCTTCAAACTATTGTCGCTCAACCAGCTGCATCCGATGCCTTTGGTTGGAGGGAAATGAAAAGAGTGGATCCACCGGTCGCTGTTCTATGAGCAATCCAGAGTTTTTTTCAATCCTTTTTATATTATTCAAATTCCCCCGGAGAGTTTGCTTATTGCTGATAATGAAAACGGTTGTAGGTAATATTAGCAAACTGCGGATTTGTTTACTGTTTGGCTTCATCCCAGCTAGCTATGCAATCGCTTATAGCTCATGTATTTGTAATGAACTAGTGTTACCAATTGGGAACTCCTGATATTGGGCCAATATAACATAAATGAACATTTTGTGTCCATATTCTCTGAAGAAATAATCAAATGGGTAATAATTAACCTTCAAGCAAATCAATCTAATTTGTAAATAGACTTTCACTTCAAATGAATAGAAGGTTTTGAGTTCGATTTTTTGCCGCGTTTTTTAATAATCAACTAGAAACCATTATACATAGAACAGCTCTCGGTTAGCGTATCCGTATCCGTTTAGTTGCCAATGGGCACATTGGGCAGATGGGCACCCTCGGGCTGGAATCCGTTCTCGTCGGCGATGTAGTTGACGGTGTAGGTCTGGCCATCATCGGCCACAAAGGAGTAGGAGCCGCGCACCACGATGGCCTCCTGCTCTGTGCCAACGTTCTTCAGCTGACCCTGCTCCTCGTGCTTCTTGCCATCACTGGTCTCCAAGCTGTGGGGGATTGGGTATTTAACCTTGGATAATCCTGGTACTGCCCCGGCTGCAATTTGTTAGACTTACGCAAAGTTATAGCCCTCGGGCTGGACGTCGGACTCCAGGCGGAGGATCTGGGCTTCCGCATCGGGAGCGGGGGCGGCCAGGACGACGGCGAAGAGGGCGGCGAAGACGATGGCAACTGTGCACTTCATGGTGATTTTTGTTTGGCTAAGGATTCGATGGGAACTTGCGATCGCACGGCTAGTCAACGTTACTTGATTTGTGATGTTTATGGCCCTCTCCGGGGGTTTATATAGTCGGATCGGAGGCCGACAATAGAAGAAAAGTTAGTCGAAAATAAAAATGACTAATTACACGCCGAGCACCAAAGCCAACAAATTGGCTTGAAACGTACAAAAACATCATGAAAAAATCACAACAACCATACCAAGAGGCAAATTATAACGTAACACAAAAACTTCTAAGGCAAACAAAACGACGCCGTTTTTTAGGAAATACTTCATCATCATTTGCATTTTTCGTGAATCAATCAATCCAATCGCTTCCAAGTCGAAGACAACAAGCCGAACATTTTTAATAATCCATGGGTATTCATATATTGTGTGGCAGAGTGGGGCGGCTAGTTTGCCCTCCAGCAAAAGAAGCAACATGCCTAGAAATGGCAGGTGAATCGAATTGAAATTCGTTTTCAGGTTTCATATTCATTGTTGTAGTAAAAAATGTCAAATTATGCACTTTTTCACTTCCCTAAATAAAAATAGAATAGAAACAACAACAATTTTAAAATGTAGAAAGTATTGGTGGTAAAAATAATTGTGCTAAAAGCACAATTTTTTATTTTTTTGTAATATTTCTGATGTGATACACTTGTAGAAATTCAAAAAAATTAAAAAATGTCCCAGAGCTGAAATGTTAAAGTAAATAACTAAACTTATCTTAATCGGAATTTGAAGTGGTATACCTCTGGAGCATTTCTCTAAAAATCTGCCTTCAAATTTAGAATTGTATTTTATTCTAATTTTTTTGTAATATTTCTGATAATATTGTAGAAATTCAAAAAAATTTAAAAATTTCCCAAGGCTAAAGTTCTAAAGTCCATAACTCAACCCATATTAATTGGATTTTGAAGTGGCATTTTTGAAAAAAGTGATATTTTTTAATTGTTTTATTTGTTTTGTAAATTTCTATCGATTTTAACCTCCCACAATCAGCCCAAACTGTCACGACCACGCGTTTAAAAATGTTGTTGAATTTTTTACACAATTTCTACCGATATTCCAGAAAATTATGAAATTTCTGGTTTGCACTTTCACTAGCTGAGTAACGGGTATCTGATAGTTGCGGAACTCGACTATAGCATTCTATCTTGTTTTATTATTTAGACGGAAGGCATAAAAGATTTGATAACATTTTGCTTATAAAATTGTATGAAATGTATAATATAAGCGAAAAAAACGTATCAGAAATAAACAATTTTGATATCACGCTTTCATTTTATTGCAAACGATCCAAAAATAAAACCTAAGCATAAATAAATGGTATTTATCCCAAATTTAATTTAAATTTGCTAAAATTCCGGTTTTTTTTAAATCTCTTACGTCAAAACTTTTATAGAACAATGAGCTGTCCGATAAAATTCCTTGAGTCCCAAAAAAAAATAGAGTACACAGTAAGAATTGAGATGAATGATGTTACTTTAATATTACGATGTTCTTCAGACGAAACTTAAACATAGTTAACACATTTGCGCTGAATGGGAACTTGATTGGCCAATGACTTTCAATCGGATTCCTTGGGATTACTGAACGGGCCTGGGCAGATGGGCACCCTCTGGCTGGAAACCGTTCTCATCGGCCACGTACTGAATGGTGTAGGTCTGACCATCGTCACCCACATAGGCATATGATCCACGGACCACAATGGCTTCGTGGTCGGTGCCCACGTCCTTTAGCTGGCCTTCCTCCTGGTGCGACTTTCCATCGCTCGTCTCCACGCTAAAGAAAATCACAAACCGGTTAGCAAACGACCTTGACACAGTTGAAAACCAGGGAACCTGGCTATCTTTTGATCGACAAACACTTACGCGAACTTGTAGCCCTCGGGCAGGACATCGCTGTCGAATCGCAGAACCTGAGCATCCTGCTGGATGGTTGGAGGAGCGGCAAGGGCGCAGGCAAGGAGACAGGTGATGGCGATGGCAATGGTGAACTTCATCTTGCTGCTGGATATGGTTGATGGGGATAAGTGGCTCAAGTGATGGGCTCGAGGAGTTTGCAGACAATGCTTGCAATTCCCTCGTCGAGTGGCGAATTTATACTCCTTGGGCCATGTAATGCAATGCGTGTAAGTGGCCATTACCGGAGCAAAAGAAACCGAGTTTCAAAAAAAGTAAAAAAAAAGTGGGAGTGGGAGAAACCAGTTTGTCGTTTTGTTTCCTTTGACCCACACTGGTTACCTAACCAGTTGCTGGATGCCTCGGCTCGGCTTTGGCTGTATTGCGATTGATTGATTGCCCAGCGACAAGATACACAGATTTCATTTGTCTTCAACAAATTAACTACAAAGTGCGCCCTGCCCAGGCCATGAGTTGCCTTAGTTGGTCTTAGAAATAGTCAATAAACTGAGAAATTGGGTCACATCGAATTTGGCTCAAGTGCAGGCGAAAGAGCGGGCCTAATAAAAAGTTTTGGCCATTTCCAATTTCAATGTCATTCGGTTAAAGTTTTTCAAGAGTTTTAAAAAGCTGTTTGCATTTTTTTTATTTCTCTACGTTTTCAACGAAAAGTGCTAGGCTAGAAAAATCACCGAAATTCTTCCTTAAGACTTAAGTAATACATCTGTTTTAGGTGCAAGAAGCAATGATAGAAAGTTCCTAAATAAAATTCTTAAAATAAGAAAATTTTATAAAAATTAAATTTTGTATTTTTAATAGCCCTTTGTTATTAATTTTCGAAGCTTCATGCGTGGGCAAAGGTTTCAGAAACATATGTACAAATACCGACTGAAGCGAATTTAGAGGGTTAAGGCAACACCATTTGAACTTTTTGGAGCGTCTTCGCCGCAAATCGTTCGCTTTCAATTTCATTTCAACTTGATTTGCCAGCTTTTTGCCTGCCACTCGACTCATTTGGATATTCGCATTTTATTACACACTCCGTTAATTAGCCGAAGTTTGCAGGGGGATATATTGAACGGCCTTTGCGCAATCCGAGTTAGTCGCAAGCGCGGATCGCCAAAGGACAGGTGACAAATGGCCGGATTAACACTGCTGTTCGTCCTAATCCTGGCCAGCTTCTGTGCGCGCTCATCAAATGCCGCCGATACTGCCCAGATACTGAGATACGACAATGAAAACTTGGACAGCGATGGCTATGCCTTCTCGTAAGTAGGTGGTTCAGGGTTTATATCAAGTTGAAAATTAGTTGCTTATACACATCTTCCCGTAGATTCGAGACCAGCGATGGTATCTCGCGTGAGGAGAGAGCCACCCTGAAGAATCCTGGTACTCCCGAGGAGGCAATCGCCGTCCAGGGCAGCGTCAATTGGGTGGGACCCGATGGGGTCCACTATAAGCTGAACTATCTGGCCGATGAGAACGGCTTTCAGGCTCAGGGCGAACATCTTCCGCAGGTTGAGCACTGATCACGTGATAGCTTTGGACTTTGTTGAATAGATAAAAGAATAAACAAAAGCAAAAACCATCGAATAGCTAAAGTAGGCGGGTAGACAATAGAAATGAAATACACAATAATAAAATATAGACACCTAGGTGTATATATCTATATGGCTGGGCATAAATTTTCACCCATCGAAATTGAATTGTATTCTAGGCAGGGAATTAGCATATACATTTGTATCTTCCAAAACCCGTTTGCTCTTCGCGCCTGAATTGTGTGCCGTAATCGACTAGCTGCAATCTCCGATTCCCCGATCTCCGTTCTCCAATCTGCGGGATCTGACCAAACCGGTTCTATAAACGCCAAAAAGCCCCCAAAAAAGGTTGCCAAAAAGCAAACAACAATTAAAGAAGCCACAATGCTGCCAACGAAAGTGAGAATTCCGGTTAAAAAAGGGCATTTTAAGGCAATTAACCTAAGCTCCTCTCATTTATCAATTGTAAAATGCAAAATAATTGGTCCTCTCCCAGCCTAGACATATCATTTTACACCGTTAAATAAAAAATATATTTATATTTATAAACTCCGTATTAATCATCTTAAACTTATTAATTTGGTATTCGCAGTATAACTACTAACAAGTATCACTTTTATTTTCTAATGACTAAAAATATTTAAAATTTCATTTATATTTTAAAGGGCCAAGGAATAAAAAAGAATATCAACGAAATTTAACAGTTATTCAGAATGCGATTTTAAGATTACTCTAATTCTTGCTGTGTACCAGTCACAGATTACTGAATGATTTATAATGCCCGAAAATGACCAGCAGTGACATTACGCATACGCCCAGTTGTATTGTGGTATTGTAGGGCATGCATAGCTCAGCCATAGTCGACTGAGCTTGGTATTGGCTTTTGTTGTCTGGTTAGCTGGTAAAAAATCGTTTTTATTTTATTGACTAAGGTCATCAACCAACACTCGGGCTGCTGACGATGGAGATGGAGATGGAGATGATGATGATGAGCCGCGTAATCTTGAATCTCTCGTGCCGCATCTTCACTTGATCAGAAAATGCAGCTGACAAGCAATGGCGGTGGAGGTTTGCGTTTCGATTCGCTTTGATTCAACATTTTTGGAGGTTAGCGCCCAGCCTTAATCGGAAATTGTGTCAGCAGTTAAGAAATGGAGGGCGGAAATGCTTCGAAATGCTTCACGCGAGAAATTTGCAACTCTGCAATTGAATAATTCAAGAATTACAAATTTGAGGAAATACAAGCGGAAAGAGCAAAGAATAAGTGTTTATATGGTGGGTAATTAAATCTCAAGCTCATGGGAATTCCGAGATTCTATGAATTGACTTCTTCTTCCCGTTCTCTGCTTAATTTCCTGAACACATTTTAAGTGGCTAAGTTTTATTCACTTCCTCACTGCTCACTTCTCTTGGGGATTAAACTTCCAACCCATTTCGCTTTGTCTTGCCTTCGATAATCTTTTTCATCACAATTTGTAGATAAGTGCAAACATAGCCATTGACCTATTGCCATAGATTCAAATGTATATATGTCTCTGTACTTGTAGACAAACACGCGCATTGACCAATTATTTGTTTTTTTTTAGCGGCCCAAACATTTCATTATCACTTGCCCCATCATCTTCAGCTTTGATTTTACTTTCAGCTCCCGTGGCGAGGCAATTGAGATGAGATTCGAGAGCACATCAAACGCTTAATGGTCTTTACATTTTTTTTTACTTGTTCAATTAAAAGCTTAAGATACTCACGCTGGCACACAGTTGCCTTCAATTATATGCGTATGAGTAGATAATTGTGTTAGCATTTAAGGTGTTTGTTATGGGCCACCAAAACTTCACGGATCACATAAGTGTGTGTAAGTGAGTGTGTGTTGGGCTAGTAGCACTTGGAGTTTTTGGCCCGGCCAGTTATAAATAGCTCAACGCTCATTACAGGGAGCCACATTACTCGTTAGTGCCTAATTGCGATAACTACCGGAGCGAGCAGTGCCTACTGAAATCCAAAACTCAGCCAGGATCTTTTGAAAAATCTCTACCAGATCAATCCAACTAAACATGCAGTCCTCCAGCATCTGTGTCCTGGCCATTTGCGCCTTCGTTCTGGTCTCCTCCATTACAGCTGCTCCTCTGGACGACTCCCAGCATGCCACCATCCTGAGATACGACAATGACAACATTGGCACCGATGGCTACAACTTTGGGTGAGCTGCAAGGACAATGCATGGGATTATCCCCACGGATTTACCGTTTAATCACCCTCGACCATGCAACGTTTTCCACTAACAGAAAGCAGGACGAAACAAATGAAATGAATGATTTTTATTGGATTTCAGGTACGAGACCAGTGACGGTGTCACCCGCCAGGAGCAGGCTGAGCTGAAGAACGCCGGCACCGACCAGGAGGCACTCAGTGTTCGCGGTTCCGTCAGCTGGGTGGCTCCCGATGGCCAGACCTACACCCTGCACTACATTGCCGATGAGAATGGTTTCCAGCCCCAGGGCGACCATCTGCCCCACAACTAAGTATTACATAGCTGTTGGTGTAGTCAGTATCATAATCAGTATTTCTTCATGTTGTTAAAAAAAAACCAGGGTTCTAAAGTATTTTAATGTTTGCTCCAATGATCATATTTCATTTTAAATATAGTGGATACCAATACACGTATACATCAATCGTATTGTTTGATTACTAGATTATCAGAATCAAATGACAGTCTTCAGCTATAGTCTGTTATGGTTTCTTTGCGATCATAGAGACGATCACTATGCTAAATATAATATTTATATAAGTTCTACTTGAATGAAAAGAAAAGTATGACGCAAGAGGCGGTAGAACAGGGTGCCTCACAGGTTCTCCTCACATTTTCCATACGCACCGTTGAACGTCGAAATGCGGTGTGTCTCGTCTGGCGACTTTGCCTGGACGGCCTTCGGTTGGCAGAAACTTGCAAATTTTTGGCACAGCCAAACATGTTTGGGTTTTTGTTGTCTTTGTAATTAATACATAATTAAAGTGGCGCATATTGAAAAATGTGCGAGGGATCTGGCCACAAATGAAAACGAAGTTTTGAAGGTTAATTTCAGGCGTTGATTTAAATTTCATGCGATGCTAATGAAATTTGGAAGATGCCTTCCAAAAACTAACATACAGCACACAGAGAGCCAAGCAGCCAAATTAATATGCATGAAATAAAAAGCGACAATGATCAAACTAGTTTTGGAATGAAACGATTGGCCGCATTGACCGATCTTTAAGCCAACTCAGCAGCTGACGTAGTTGCCATGCCCAATTTTGTGTAGAACACACATGGGCTAATGCTTTCTGGATTTACATACTTATTATTAAGGACGGAACTTCGTGCTGGTGTGCTCAAAGCAGTTCTAAATATACTTATGCAAGGCATACTGGACTCTGCTATTTTCCGGTTGTTATATTTAATTCATGTTTAAGTCTGAGTATGTTGAAGGGATGTTAAAATTAATATAGCCAAGTTTTGTGAATCATACAACTATAAAAAGGGTTACATTTTTTAATGTATCTACGCGTTCTTTCATTTTATAGCCATTGTTAGTGGTGCAGACAACTAGCCAATTAGTAGAACTATCTTGCCTAACGACTTTTTAGTTCAAGTCATTCAAGTTTGATAAGATGCATAATGTGCAGGTAGATTAAATCGAAAAACCAGATGAAGCATCCCATTATTGTTTTGCGATTTCAAAAATGCGCCACTTAAGGCATTCAAATTTAGAAAGAACTAAGTCAAAAAGATTAGAACTACACAATAAAAAAAAAAAATTATGAATATATAAAATCGATATCTGTTTTTCAATTTTCTATTTGGGTCCACATTCCAAGTCAATGATTATCGATGATTGAACCCATAACTAAAGTTACTATTTAGTTTTAATGCAATGTAGTAAGGATCATTTATTTAAAATTTTTACAAAAAAAGTGATTTCGAAACCCGAAGTTTTAAATTGTATTTAATGAATAGATCTGAGTTGTTTGGGTATCAACAGGTTATTGCTATATTAAACCCGGACTACTCTTTTCCAACCTCTTTTGAATTCATGGATGACTAAACAACAGAAATTTATTTTTAATATGAAAAGAGGATGAATTTCACTTATAAGAGAAATTAAATAAATGTATCTATAGTTATAAACTGTTCAATTAATATTTGATAAATATTCGCCCACAATTGGTCTCTAGCTCTATGGCTATAACAAAAATTGGAAACTAGTCTAAGACAAATGGCAAAGCACAAATATATTCACTATTGAAATCATTATCATGCATTTTATTCACTATGCGAATTAGATTAGCGTCACAGCACCTTGGATTTGTTCACCATTTATGTATAAAAGCGTTCATAGTGAACCCAATCAATATCATTCGTCTCCAGCTCTTTGAGATAACCACACTAGCTAAATATCAACATGAAGTTCCTGATTGCCTTCGTCGCCCTGTTCGCCCTCTTCGCCCTGGCCGCTGCCGGGCCTCTCCAAGAACCACAGACTTTGAGCCAGTCCTCCGAAGTCGGACCTGAAAACTATGCCTATTCGTAAGTATTGTGAACTTTATGACTGGAATATGTATACTTACCCTTTGCTCCATATTAGCTTTGAGACCAGCAATGGAATCAATGCTCAGGAGCAGGGAAAGCTGCAGAACGCTGGAACCGACTACGAGGCTATCTCCGCCCGCGGATCCTTCAGCTACATTGGTGATGATGGCCAGACCTACACCGTCACCTACATCGCCGACGAGAACGGATTCCAGCCCCAGGGTGCTCATCTGCCCGTTGCCCCCCAGGCCTAAGTCGTCCAAAATAGTTAACTAGTTCCCTTTTGATGTCGATTAACAGGAAAAGAAACCCCTTGTGTAGCTTTTTTATTAAGGAGAACAGAATCTAAGTCAACGAGCCTAAAGTGTTATTAAAGAAAAAAATATTACATAAAATAATTTGTTTTTAAAGGGATTTAAATGTGGCTGATAATTTAGACAATCAAAGTCTGTTGCGTTTTAAAACACTAACTTTGTGTGGGATTTCACATCAAATTTATTTAAATTTTTTATAATTGACTGCTAAGTAGCAACAAAAACGATTTAATTTTGTATTAGGCTGTGTCAGTGTTTTCTTGTAAACAATTCGTAAGAATTGAAAACCTTATATATATTTCCTGGCCTTAACTTATGGATATACATTCTAAGAACAAAAGTACACTAAGTATTATGGCAGCACAGTTAAAGCTAAAACGTTAAAGTAAAAACATTGCGATTGACTTTGATGTCTCGCGTCAGACTGGGTAATATCAAATAAAAAACCAAGGCTAATATATATTATGACGACCCTAACCGAAAATGCACTACCTTCTGGAGATAGGCTGATCGGGGAATCATTTATCCTGCAGCAAGATAATGTTCCATGCCACAAAGCCCGAATGATTACCAAGTTTCTAAACGATGTTGGCGTTACCGTCTTGAACTGTCCACCTCAAAGTAAAGATTTAAATATTATTGAGAACATCAGGACTCTTTTAAAACGCAAAAGAACAGTTTCGTTACACAAAACTCGAGAGCAGACGATTTCTGAGATCGCTTTCCTTTTGAAAGAGATAACTCCAGAGATCTTTCACATTTTTGTGGATTCAGTGAACAGTGAAGGACCGACTTTAAAAAGTTATTTACGCCAAAGGAGGATATACACGTATATATTATTGATTGTTTCAATACTCCTCAGCTCCAGATATGAAAGGGTTAGCAAATTATTTATGCCGATACAAAAAACTATAACATTTCATTAAGTTGTTTATATTTTTATAATGAAAATATATTCGTTTATAATATATTTTTAATTATTCACAAACAATAAAAAATAATCAATACTAGCATATCAAGCCATTTAAAAGTTTCTCGGAAAAATGTGCAACGACTTTTTTTGTATTGGTCAGTTCCAAGAACTTTTTGTAACTTGGTACTTTTAAGGCTAAAAGCTTTTCAAACAATTTTCTTATGACTTTTAGGTCTAGTTTAATAGAAACTACGAGAAACTATGCAAACTATATATACTCGTATAAAGATGGTCGATTTACATATCGTATTGGGCTTTTAACGATTCAGCTTTAGGCCGAATCCATTTTCACACATTTATCACATTATGCTTTATACACTACACGTTTGACTAGTTTGGCCGCGTTGGGCTCGGTCGTCAAAGTTTGGCCATCCATCTATATAAAGGGAGTAACAACCATCAGAGATCATCATTCGTCGTGAACTGTTCGAGAACCGCAGATCAAAACACCAAACAACAATCGCCATGAAATTCCTGATTGTCTTCGTCGCCCTCTTCGCCGTGGCACTGGCTGCTTCTCAAGGTCCTGAGGCCGTAATCCTGCGGTCCGAATCTGATGTTGGACCCGAGAGCTTCAACTATGCGTAAGTTGACTATGAGATATGACCAAAAAGGATGTTGTGCTGACTTTGAGTTCCCTTCTAGCTGGGAGACTTCCGATGGACAGTCAGCCAATGCCGAGGGTCATCTGAATAACATTGGAACTGAAAACGAGGCTATCGCCGTCCGTGGATCCTACAGCTTCGTTGCTGATGATGGCCAGACCTACACCGTCACCTACATCGCCGATGAGAACGGATTCCAGCCCCAGGGCGCTCATCTGCCCGTTGCCCCCCAGGCCTAAGTGAGATTGCTTAAGCAGTTTTAGAGCCATACAATCCTTCCCTACTCTTTGTTAATAGCCCCAAACTTTACCAAACCAATCCCAACCCTGTTTTCAAGGGATGGGAACTAAGTCAACCAATTCCACTTGTTAAATAAAAAAGAAAAATAATTACCTGAATTTTTGTGTGTTGTTTCCATATATTATTTTGCTTTGAATATAATTAGCTTATGATAAACATATGGGGAAGGTTGTAGCCGAAAAAAAACCGACTGATTATGGATATTCGAAAAAGGAAAACTGGTCACTACGTGTAGACTTGACCACTCATGAACCATTGATTTTTGACATTACGATTAAACGTTTACTGATTGATATTTTCTATTAATAATTAATGTACATACTACATACCAACAGAAATGTTCACGAACAAGCATTTGCTAGGGCTTTTACTTATTCAAACATTTGATGATAATATGAGAAATGACATTGGCAAAATCACAATGCACAATAATACAAAGTTTGAATACAGAATTTAATGCAACTCGACTAGATGACATCGTTTAAACTTGAGTTCAATTTTGTTTTATATGTAGTTATATGTTGATATGTGATCATCTACCGTTTCTCATACAAATATTCACTATTCTATCTGTTTATTTCAAACAAAAATGTTCACGATTAGCTTAATTGACCGATAAGATTTGAGAATTCAAAGGTGATGGCAAGGTAAGACGTCATGCTGTCTATCAAATGGCTGTCGACAAGCTAATTGCATGCATTACCTCCCACTGGACATACCTGCATGCACGATTAGTGCAGGGTACTTAGAGTGTTAATCTGTAATTAAAATGTGTTTTATTGAATGGTTTGCATTATAGCTGATTTATTTATTTTTAATTTCTTTTATTTTTGTTTTTTGCATTTTTCACCGATGAGGACATAATACAGAGGTTTCGTATAAAAGGGCATCACACGATCGCATCGCAGCTCAGTGAAGTGCAGCTAGGTGTGACGGAGACTGTGAAAACTACTTGATATCGCGATGCAATCGAACTTCATGTGGCTGGTAGCCTTGATGGCAATCGGGATCTGTCTGGCCATGCCCGCTGGTGAGGATGCCCAGGCGGAGACCATCAAACTGGAGAGCGAGAACACTGGCGACAAATATTCCTTTGCGTAGGTATTGCCCAGGAATAATGCGGAAATAAGGGACCATTGCCATTCATTTTACAATTTGCTAACCATAATGGGCAGCTAATTTCTTTACTATTATATTTTAAAGAAATTGTTGTCTTATAGCAATGCAAATTTTTATAAATAGAAAAAACATTTTGGAAAAACTATTTTCAAATAGGCAATTGGCTGGTTGGACTCGGCTTTTGATACCGATCAAGAATCTATGTACTTTATAGGGAAATCAATATAAGCTCTGCAAGTGTATAATTAAAAAAGGGAGTTTGCTAGAGTTGCCTTGAATACAGCTCAAATAAGATTAGGATATTTAAATACAATTTGAATATTTACATAACGCCTTTCAAAATGCTTCAATAGTGCAACATTGTAATATATAATATATTCAAATACGTCCTACATAGAAATTTGACGATTGACGAATGTTAACTTATTGGAATCGATAATTCCAGCTATGAGACGAGCAACGGAATCTCACGCACGGAGACCGGTGAGGTAAAACCTGGAGCCGGTGAAGAGGATGGCTCCTTGTCTGTCCAAGGGTCCACCAGTTGGTCAGCTCCAGATGGCAAAAAATACGAGATTAGCTTCACGGCCGACGAGACCGGCTACCATCCCAAGTTCAGGCTGGTAGCCTAGGAGATACCTGGATGTAAATTGATCCGGATCCGAATAATTAAGTTGACTTCAATTATCCGATGGAAAGAATCGTAGGCTATATATAAAATATTTTATATATCTGAGGAAGCTCCCGATTTTAATTGACGTCACTAAGATGGGCTGGATTTTTAGAAATATAATACAAGCTCAATGAATTGTTAAAAATTTGAATAATTAAATATTTATGAACGCGATTCTTTTTAGCCTATAGGTTAATTTAAATTTTATATTGGGCCTTTTAATGCTCCTCCTTCAAACGAAAATGAAATCCAAGCCAGACATTTCACATTAACATTGATTTTGCTGATTATGTCTTGTACACGTTTGACTAGTTCGGCCCCGCTTTGTATAATAACCAAGAGTTTGCCATCTATAAAAGGGTTTACGCTGCCGTCCTAAGTTACCATTCATCGCGAACTCTTCGGTAACCGCAGATCAAAACACCAAACAACAATCGCCATGAAATTCCTGATTGTCTTCGTCGCCCTCTTCGCCGTGGCACTGGCTGCTCCAAATCCTGACGCCGTAATCCTGCGGTCCGATTCTGAAGTTAATCCCGATAGTTTCAAATTTGCGTAAGTTGACTATGAGATATGACCAAAAAGGATGTTGTGCTGACTTTGAGTTCCCTTCTAGCTGGGAGACTTCCGATGGACAGTCAGCCAATGCCGAGGGTCATCTGAATAACATTGGAACTGAAAACGAGGCTATTGCCGTCCGTGGATCCTACAGCTTCACTGCTGATGATGGCGTGACCTACACCGTCAACTACATCGCCGATGAGAACGGATTCCAGCCCCAGGGTGCTCATCTGCCCGTTGCCCCCTAGGCCTAAGCGAAGTTCGTTTCTGCGTAAGCATCTTTAAAGCCGGCCAGTCCTACAAAACTCTTTGTTATACCCAACATGTACTTACATCCGGTTTCCCGCTTTAAAAGGGAAAAATTCCTAAGTTGCAGAACCCACTTTGTTGAATATAAAAAAACGTAGATTTTATATGAATTCGTTTTATTGCAAGTGTTTTTTCTCAAAAGGTCGGATTGAAACCAATGTGTCAAAAATATGATTATTATGAAACAACTTTAAAGGGGTTTGGATAAATAGAACTACTTTCTTAGGACGAGCAACCGACCTATTCAGAGGTTATAGGTAGTTCTTTTAAACAACAATGCTTAAAAGGGAAAAGTTGTCTCAGTAAAAACACTACTTAGAAAGAATTTTTGATCTTATTAAAAAATGTTTAGTTATAAAAATATTTTAGAAATAACTAATACGGTTTTATAAGACTACTACACTACTCTAACGCCAAAAACTGTCGCACTCTTCATTTCATTATTGTTTTTCCCAATTTCTATCGAAATGCCAGACAAATGAGGATATATCTCGATCGCACTTCCATTAGCTTAGTAACGGAAATCTGATATGATCTATTTAATGTTTAATGTTTTTGCTTAATATTAAATCTTTTTTTTCAGCTCTTTTATTAGCATTAGTTTTGAAGAACTGTTAGGAAGGATATATTGGGGTTTTTTAATCAAATTAAACTAATATAACAACTTCTTCTAGTTTTTCTTAATGCATTGTCGACTTTGTGGAATAAAATGACATTGTTGAATGTTTAAACACTTTTAGCTTACTTTCAGGCTATAGCTATACTGCTTGCAGTGAAATCAAATGACTTAGGCAACAAACATTATTTAATCCGTTGCATACTTTTAGAGGCTAAATGCTAATTGCCAGTAACTTCGTGACGCGTCTCTTCAGACTCATATCATTTATGCTCGTATTGAAAACAACTGCTTTTGCAATTAATATGCTAATCTTAGCATACAACATCAGTCATTGCCGATTGACAGCAATATTTCAATTATAATTGGCTTGCAGTATCCGGCAGAATGCTGATTGCTGATCGATGAAAATTGAGAAGTGCGAACATCTTCCTCATTGTATTCGAATTTGCTCATCAAGCAGGTCAAATGCCTGATTATTACTCAAACAAGTTGGACTGCAAATACATCGAAGTCGATTAATTATTAACAAATAGAACCTAGCATGCTCTAATCGCCGATTTTGAAGACCAATTGTAAGCCATGTCATCAAATTTCATGTTCATGCGAACATGTCTAGATCGACTCGGCTAGTGATCCTGATCAAGAATATATATATATATATATACTTCATTTTACATACTTTTCAACGAATATAGTAGACCATTTTACTCTACGAGTAACTTATAAATTAGAACATTGTAAACTTACGCTTGTAAAATGTATCTCACAATTGAATTTGTTTAGTTCTTTATTTATATAAATATAAGAAAGATTAAATAACGAATTTTGTATGCTCTTTAGTCGAAATCAACCTACAAAGATAGAAATCCGGATCAGAAATACTCAGGAAGACTAGAAATAAATGCCAAAAATGCTATTTAACAGACAACTAACAACTAATTTAGCTTTTGTATACAAATATGGAGGATGCAAATTACTTATTATATTAGAACTAGCTGACAACCAGTTAAAATAATCAAATAAATAACTTTTGAAACTGCATTAAATTTTAAATTATAAACGCAGGCTTGGCTGACGCTCAAGAGGTGTGATGCGATCTGGCCAACGCTACCAGCTATGCGATCCGCATGGGCCAATACACAACGTTGAGAACGCAGAGATTCGCACGCACACTTGGCCAACGAGCAGCGGCAGGTTCGCGTCCGCCTCTAATGTTTTATAATGTTTACCTAATATTATTAACATTGTCAATTCGCTGCCGAACATCGTGGGGTGTGTTTCATTCTTAGGCGCTTGCTCCGAGCCGATTATCTAGCCGTGAGAAACGCGTCTTTTCGTCCGCTTGAAATCTAAATATTTATAATCGTGTATTTGTATTAAAATATAAACGACCGTTTATTTATACGTTTCTGTGTGATCGCGGACAGTTTATAATAGGGCGTGAAAATAAAATAAATTTGTGACCGATTTAAATTAATATTCCATTCCCAAAATGAGCCTTAAATTGATGGCGTTTGTTTGTGCTGTAAGTGCTTAAGTAGCATATGGTTCCAAGTTTGATCCCGGCATTCATTGAGTTCCTTTTAAGCTGCTGCTCCTCTGCACCTTGACCCATGTCCTGTCGGCCGCAACCACAGTGCGTCCCTACAAGTTCGGCTTCACCATCGACGAGCAGCAGCATCGGGCGGAGAAGAGAGGTGAGCTGGCCAAGGTGGCTAATGATGCTAATTAAACCATTAGCATATCTTGACTACTGTGCGTCGATTTATTGACACCGAAACCGAAATATGTAAATAGATGATGCGTCATCTCGAGAGTCGTTAGGAGCAGATGCACAGATGCAGCGGCAAATGCATCCAGCAGCCAGCATTAGCCAAAAAAAGCCATAACTTTTGACTTTTGAGCCGGAGTGCGACTGGCAGTGCGGCTTGTGCAATGCCACACAATACACGTTTGATGGGTGCATGGTGCACCTGAGCGACAGGTCACCAGCAATTGAAATACCAGCCTCCAATGGCAATTAGCGGAATCTTTACAAACCCATATGGCCGGGGGTTCATCACTGAAGTCCATTGTATTTTGTCCAAATGGCATGCATGGTCGTTATGATTTTTATTTCCATGCTGAATCGGTGATAAAGTTTTCAGAAAATCGAATACAAAACGTGGCCGATTAGCATAACATGTAGACTCTTTCGAATACACAAATGTTTGCCTTATTTATGGTTTTTCTTTCTTTGGCTAATGCTAATTTCAAAAAGAACCTCCACATTTCAATATTTATAGGTATAATTCTGGCATATCAAATGCCAGAGTTGAGCCAAAAATTTTGGATTACGTTCATATTAACAAACAAATTCAGGAACTCGTTGTGCATGCAAAATTATATTTGTATTTAAGGGAGAATGAAAAGTATCCTAAGAAATTATTAAAAACGATTTCGGCATCTTTGAAACATTATTATTCAAATGGTTCAAATATTCAATAGATCTATTGATATAGATCACATTTTTGAAGTCTAGCTTACGGGGCATTACATCAGAGCTATCATAAGTTACTTTTAATTTAACATATACAATAAATACATTTATTGCCACTTGTATTTTACTATAGGTTAAAGCATTTTTAATTTTTTACAACCAAATACAATTTGAATTATTATTTGCCTTCTTTACGAAACGTTATTGCGAAGTAGGATTTCAAGCGTGAAACTGGAAATAATTCAATGGAAATTAAACTTTAGAAATAGTAATAATTTTCAAAATTATAAATTAATTAATTATTAAAACGGAAAGAATCAGTTTCTATATTTATTACCCACTTAATTTTATTGTTCGTTTTTCGTAAGATTTTTCGTTAATTTTTTAACCAAAACATTCCTAATTTATATTGATACGAGCTTAATAGTTTTCATTGAACAAATTAAATTCAAATTGTTCACAACAAAAGAATAAATAACAATAAAGAATTATTTGCAAGCCCCGTCAAAATCGATCGAGACAAATGGGAAAGTGACACGAAGCCAAATTTGAATTAAATATAAAACAAACAAGCGAAAGCCAATTGTTGCAAACCGTTAAAACTTGTTGACCACATTTTGTGGAAACCTGTTTACAGACACAAAGGCCACAAGCCAGAATTTCAAATGAGAATATTTTGGTGGGTGTTAAGCTGGACAGGATACTGTGATGAGAGTCGCACTTCTTAAAGACGAACCACAGATCGTAGGAATTTTTCTAGCGTAGGAAGATGCCTAACGTATCAATTAAAAGCGACGGGGGTATGGTGCGGTTGCCGGGTTTTTTTTTTAAGAAACCAGCTCACAAGTTATGATCGCCATTATCGATACAGTTTATTAGATCTTAATCTTTATGGGCTTGCTTGGTGCGGATTATCAAAGAAATTAAAAATCACATATCGGCGTAAAATTCGCATTCATATTCAAAATGAACATATTATCTTTTTGGCCAAATCTCATCTTGTTTCCCGACCCACAGATGAACGCGGCATTGTCATGGGCGAGTTTGGGTTCATCACCGCCGATGGAATTTATCACGTGACGGTTTACGCCACCGACGAGGAGGGCAAATTCCGGATAATCTCCATGAAGAGCTATCCTTACGCGGGTCCAGTTGGTCCAAGTGAGTATGGACTGCATTGTTACGCAATTCTGAATGTTTAAATCGAACTGCATTTTTTCCTATGACAGCTCTAAAATATATGCTTTTTATCTGATAATATTATTTATTAATTCTAATCATAAACCCGATTGAAATCAGACTTCCATTCAGATTATTTCCTTTAAAGCCATACTGGTTTTAAAGCTACGTAGTGGTCTAAATATAACCAACCGTTTTTGGTTTGATACGAATAATCCTAACGTGTAAAATACCTTTTGGCTTAGTTCGAACTTAAAAATAAATTCTCTTTTTTTAATTTAATACACTTTTTGTAGACATTTATACTGTCACTTCTTACACAGGCTTTTAAAAAGGAAATAAAATATAAATTTTGAAATTAATTTTTGTATTATTAACATTCAAGAAAATGTTCCTGTGACTACGACTCCGAAGGCCCTGCTTCCCCCAGCTCCGGTGGCACTGCCCAAGTACAACTTCAACACGGAGGCCTGCTCGGGTTGTTTCCTGAAAAAGTCTCCTCCCAAGACTGAAATTCGCACACTTTCACAGCCATTGACTCCAGTTCAACCAGGTAAGCCCGAGGGCTCTTCCGATATCGGCCTGAATGTGCAGTTGCCCTTCCGGGAATCCATTGCACAGACTGTGGCAAGTCGTCTTGGTTTTCTCCGAGATACACTGCAAAACTCCAACACAAACACCAATACACCAAATACTAAAAAAATCGAACTTGGTCTCAACCTAGCAATGAACACATACTACACAACAAAGAATGCCGTAACCGGACATGTGAGGACGCAGACCTCCAATTCGCAATCTCCGAGTGCCAGCTCAAAGATCGAATACAATGTGGGCGTGGTCGAGAAGATTGCAACGCCGGTTTATCCGCCATTGAACATCCGGTTAGACGAGGACGTGATAAGACAAGCTATTACATATGCCGAAAGGATACCAAAGGTTCCACTTGCCAGTAACATACAATCCGTAGCACAACATCCGAACACGGGCCTTAAGCAAGTTAATAGATCGGGAGTTTCCTCTGCGAAAACATTGGCCAATTTGAAGACGAGACCCACACACCAACTAAACCCACACCAAACACCTCTTTTGAGTAAGACAAATAGGGGTACAAATTTTAACATTTTATATTAATTATAAATGACCGTTATAGTTAAAGCTTAAGGTGTTACTAGATTTCAATAGATTTCAATTTATTGTTTGATTGTTTAATAGATTTCAATTTGAATTACAAATCTCACTGCTTACTACATCTTTAAGCCACCTAGCGGAATCATATTGCACTAAGATTGCACACTGCTTACACGATTCCTAAACTATTTAAGATACTGGTCTGTGTCACTACTAAATTACCCTTGGAATTTTCATTAGGTTCAGCAACCGCCACCGGAATTTCTGGATTGACAGCGAATACACCAACCGGAAGTGCACCCTGTAAGTCCTATGGAGCGGAAATTATCCTTATAAGCCGGAACAATACTAATAACAAATTATTAACAACTTTAGCCAACGGTGGACGCATCGCCGTGGGTAATCCACAAGCTGGTGAATCTGGAGGTGTTTCCGGTGCAGGAGTTCCAGGAGGAAGAAAAGTCTCAGGATTGGGAGGAGAAATTAATTCTGGTAGCGGACTTGGAAGAGTCGCTGGAGCAGGCAAAGCCGCCGGAATTGGCAGAGGAATCGTGTCTGACCGTGGAAGTGCATCAAGTGCAACGGGTGATCTGTACAAATTCAAATACATCCTGGACTACAATGGACACGAGGAGACCGGCGGTCGCAATGGTGACAAGCAGGGTAGCTACTTCGCCATCGGCGAGGATGCAGTGCAGCGGACCATTGAGTACATTGCGAACGAGTTTGGCTTCCAGCCCCACGTCAGCTGGCGGAAATTGGACGCCAAAGAGGCGCTTCCCGAGGAGAATTCGCTAAAGCATTACGAGTTTAAATGGTTTAAACAGGTATAGAAGTGAAACGGTCATTTTTCGGTGGATTAGACCAATACTAGGGTAGGCTCCTCTTTTCCCCATGCTCTACATTACAATTTTTGGTTAATTTCAAATAAATACAACGTTAACAAATGCTTTTTTTTAATTGGGTTTTATTTTGTTGAAAGTTTTTGCCTTAAATTAACTAAATTCTTAGAGGGTTTCGGTGTGTGGGCATCGCTGATGTTCATTTTATATTTGTTTTCGCTTCGTAAAGTTTACATTCAGAATTTAAAATTGTATACACTTAGATCGTTAACGATTAGTTTGCTTTTTGTCGTTTTTCGATTTGGTAAATACACATAGTTACACACATTTAAATTTTTATATATATTTTCCTCGTATTATTATAGTTAAACTTGGACTTACATTTTAAATGTTTTCTTTTTTACACACAAATATATAGTATGTCTAGACTTGGGATTAATATGTACTCGTAATTAATTTCAATATTTATTCGTTTGTAATTTGGTATTTAAAAAATATGTAAGAGTTTTAACTGTACAATCAACTATCACAGTCAACCATCTCAAAACGATAAGTTAAAAAAGAAAGTGTTCAAACCCATAATGTAATTCAATATGTAAATCACGTAAGCCCAAGTAAACTACATTACTTTCTAAACATTTTTACACTTAGGCAAATATTTATTTACAAATCGTAAATTGAAGTGAGAATGTGGCAAACTTTTATAACTAGACATTCACTGTTGTGCTTAACGTTATTTGGAGGATGATATTGTTAATTTGCTATTTACAAATGCTTCCACACACAAAATGCTAACAACAATTGAAGAATTCTAGAACTATTTTCAAGTCTTAGCCTGGAAAGTGTTTGCTTTGAATTTAAGAAAAGAGTTTGTCCTTGATACACTAAAAACATTTAGAGTTCGGTTTAGCTTCAAATGCCAACTATATCGGTTCCGTTTCTTAATTGTATATTAGTGGAAAGTTAGTTCCTTAACCCTAGAGCAACAAAGATTCATTCACTTATTCACTCATTCACTCGCGCACACGTAAAATATTTAGCTGGGGGTTGTTTCTATTCATTCTGGTTAGGGTGTACGGGTTTATTTCGCTAAGTACCTATGAATAAAATCCGCTGCAAATACGCTTGCTGCCTGCTTTTCGTTTCGATTTTTGTGTTTGGATCTTTTCTGGTGGTTCTGGTTACAAGTTTTGCCATTGCATTTACAGTAAAAACGTGGCCTGTTCGCCGCTCTTCATGTCCAGATAATCGTACAGAGCCCGCTCGTTGGCCCCATAGTTGCCAGCGTGTCCTGGAAGTCCGGAGTGGGCGGGATGACCGTGGTGGTGGTACGGTGGCATATTCTCGCCAGCGGGCGTTGCAGCCGGTGGCGAAGGACCTGCTCCCATCGTCAGCCCGAACTTCTCCAAGTGGCATCATTTGAGCAGCGTCGGCAGGCTGCTGTTCATCAGCCGGTTGCCCACTACCAGTGAATTGAGCGTTGAATTACCAGCGCCCACGCCCACGCCCACTCCGACCCCTACGCCCACGCCCATTCCGGCCACACTCAGTCCGCCAATTGTCCCAAATCCGGCACTGGCATGAGCCGGTGTCGCCGTCAAGGTGGCCGTGGCAATATTGAGGTTGTTGCTCACACTGGACGACCCACCGCTGCTGGACACATGGGAACCGTTCAGGTTGCCATTGCTGCCGAAACCACTCATGACTGTCCCACCTCCGCCTCCGCCACCACCACCGCCTCCGCCACCCGCTCCACTGCTGGTGGTGCTGCTGGAGGTGGAGCCCACGCCGGTGGACACACCGGAGCCAACTCCACCACCTGCACCGCCAACTCCACCGATGCCCACGCCCGTCGAGGCCGTGCCGCCGCCAATGCCGGAGGCACTGGCGATGGCGTTGCTCTCATATTAGAAGGCGCCACCGGACGATGATGGTCATGCGTAGTGGGGATAGCTGCTCAGGTGGGGCGCTACGTGGGAGGGGGTAACGTGGCTCATCGAGTGCGGCTGGTAGAGATTCGTGGCCGGACTGCCCCAGTTGCCCCACGAGGCGGCCGACGGAAAGATCGAGGCTGTAAGAAATCGAAAATTATTTAAATAAATCAATAATAACACATAAATCCTAGCTCAATATTTTCAATAAACTACTTCTGTACCAGTTTTTCGTTATTAGGTGCATATATCTTTTTAGTTGACGACTCAGTTTTCTAAGTATATATGATTTAATTAGCACTTATAAAATGAATCCACATTTTAGTCACACGTATTGAAGCTGTACTTTTGATTGAAAGACACCCGAGAATCCATAAATGGATTGGCGAAACGAATGCTTACCCGAGGATGAGGTCATGCCATGGTGCGGACTCATGAACGAGCTGAGCTTGGCGCTGTGGTGATATGGTGTCATGAACAAGTCGCTCTGGTACTTGTAGGTGGGATCGCTGGCCGCCGGCTGAGTGGCAGCTGCCAGGCCTTGGAAATCGAATTTGTACGCATACCGCTTGCCGTGCACCTTGGTCATTATGTTTTTGTCGTAGTAGTACCTAAATGGGAATGTCGGAAAAAAGGAGATTCAAGTAAATAAGTTTTCTATACTCCTAAAAATACAAATGTACGTGGCCTATACATTGGCGCTTAACTACTATTTAACACTCTTACACATGTAGTCATAAAATTGGCCTTCAGCGTGAAGAATCAACCCACAAAGTCCCAGTGGAACTGCCCCTTCTGCTGCTCGTTTCAATGCTCTCAATGTGGGAAAGTCAAACAAAAGCTGAGATGAACTGCGTCTCCCCGCGGATGGACAATAAATAATTACAGAATAATGCTCGCTTTATGCGTTTTAAGTTAATTTGCTGACATTAAGCGATTTTAGTGCCGCTCCCCAGACGCAGCTCCCTTTTTCTGATTCTGCAATTAAATGGCAACGCCTTGTGCACAAACGCAAATAGAAATTTTAGCGAGGGGTGAAATTATGTGGGCGGGCAGGCGGCCAAGAAATCCGAGCGATATTTGTTTACACTCGAGGGTTAGCCAGCGATTTCTTTTCATTAACTTTGGATATTTGCCCAGGCAGCAGGACAGTGCTCTCTTTAAGGGACATTCGAACTGCCATTTAAATATTCCTTTCCTCCTGGATATTGTGCGTTTATTGTTACGCTTTAAAATGTCCACAACTTCCGCCTGACAAGAGGACAAAAAAAAAGAAATTGTTGCAAATAAATTACAAAAGGTTGCAGGCAAAGCAAACATTTCAATGCATCAATGTAAATTGGCATAATGCGTGCAGTTGAGTTCTTTCTCCCTTATTTTTTCATTTTGCACCGTCCATAAATTATGCCAATTACGGCCATAAATTAAAAGCAGCAAAAACAAAAGCCTGACGGCAAAATTCAAAAGAGTAAAAGCTGAAAAAAAGAAAGTCCTGAATGCCGCTGCTCCTTGCACAGACAATCAAAGCCAATCAATGACTGATGAGCTAAGGACAAAGGAGCACAATCAGGGAGCAAGGATAACTGCATGGAGAGAAAAGGATTAAAGTAAACCCATTTCGAGGATTGGCCAGGCCAACAAAAGGCCAGCTGGCTGTGAATAAACATGTCAAATGAAGCATTAAAGCACTTGTCCTTGCTAAGCGCTTGTGTGGGTGCATTGGGTGTCTTGTGTGTGTGTCTCTGTGTGTGTGTGTGTGAAGGATACCCGAGCTGAGTGTTAATTTACACACCCACACACTCTCGCACTTCTGAGCAAACATGAAAGCCAGCGGCGATGATGTCTCTTGTGTTCAATTGAGTTGAAATGCGCAAAAAAGAACAGACATGTTGAGGCTTCCTGCACATCAAAAAGGATTCCTACACCGCCCCCACCCGTCGTCCTGCCATTGTTGTTGCGTGATTTTTCTACACTTTTTACATTTTATTTACATGTGTGTGCGGAGCATGTTGCAAATTGGCTGTCAGGACTTTTCCACTTGAATTCGCATCATTGGCACTCGCCTGATTGCGAGTGACAGTTTCAAGGAGCCGGCTAAAAGGGTTCGTCGCTCAGGATTCGGCTAACTTTCTATGTCCTGGCCTTGTTTATTTAGCCAATTGACCGTTGCACAAATAGTTTGTGCATATGGTTTGTGTACTGTCAAATATTGAAGCTCCAGTTTTCGAAATCGAATTACGTTTCTCTGCAATTAGATTGCGAATTTATTGGATTTTTGATTACGTTCTAGGCTCGGGCCCTGCGAACAATTTATGATTGAGTTTCTCTGTCGACTTTGCCACGCCCACACAATCAAGTGAGCCAGAGTCTTGGTCAGCAAGTGGATTAGCTCGTTTTTTGGGTGATTTTCTGGCTCTTTAGCCATCAAAGTGGCTAATCAGTACAGGGACAAATCATTTGCTGATGAGCCAAATAGCAAATTGCACACATGCTCGCATTTCGACGACGGCACAGATACTGGCTAATTGGGGAATACTTCAGTGCACAAGGAGAAACATCCCCATGGCTGGGTTGCAAGTAATCCGTAATCGAACTTTTTTCTATGTGGAATTATGCGCAAAATGAAAACGTTTGTGGATTTCTCGGTTTTTACCCCTATTAAAGAAAAAGGTAACTAATAGAATAAATTAAAATAACATGAACATTCCCACACAAAATATGTGTTAAAACTATAAACTTCTTATTTTTTCCTAAAAATTAATAAAATGTTACATAGTTATTTGGAACTCACCTCAAGGCGCGACTGAGCTTGTCGTAGTTCATGTTGGGCTTGGACTTTCTTTCGCCCCAGCGGCGGGCAACCTCGTCGGGATCGGTGAGCTTGAACTCGCCGTTGGTGCCCTCCCAGGTGATGCAGCTGGCGTTGTTGGAGTCGGAGAGCAGCTCGAGCAGGAACTGCCACAGCTGGATCTGGCCAGAGCCTGGAATGGGAATGGGGAGAAATGGGTTTGAGAAATGAGCCCAGTGATTCGTGGGTATTGAGACATTTAGTGTGGGTAT